TCCATAAACTGCGATGGTAGTTCAACCGCGTCCCACTCGACATTTCGAATGCCAGCCACTAGCCCCTCGTCCTGCTTGGTAAGCATATGCTGAAGAGCATGTCCAAATTCATGAAACACTGTCTCTACCTGTAATATTGTAGTCAGTAAGTAATACAAATTCGTGATATCCTGTCGAGCTAAGATACTAAAGGATGTAAAAATCAAATTTACCTCACGGAATGTCATAAGGCTTGGCTTGTCACCTACTGGAGGCGTTTGGTTGCAGACCATGTGCGCAACAGGAAGCCTAACAGAAGTACCATTCCGAGCCATGACTCGGCTACGGGAAACAACCTCATCCATCCAAGCGCCTCCTCTTTTCTCCGAAGGGCGAGAGTATGGATCAAAGTAGAAGTAAGCAATTGGGTTTCCAGAAGAGTCTTTGACGCGGTAGAACTTAACATCGTTGTTCCAGACCTTCAAATTATGAAAAAAAAATGTCAGCCAACAGATTTTAACTAGTATATCACATGCAAACGCAATATATGAGATTCCAGATTTTACCGGAGCTAAACCATCTGCCGGTTCAACATCGACTCCAAATAGTGTCTTAGCTAGACTGAAAAGCCCATCCATGACCTTTGGCAGGGAGAAGTATGGGCGTAGTTCTTCCTAAAAAAAGACCAAAAGGACAGATAAGAATCAAGACTTTCAAAACAATACAGTTGTATCACAAGGTCGAGAAGGATAAAGAACCTCATTATAATCGTATTTGGATTCACGAAGCCTCTCACTCCAGAAAGTGGTGTCCCAGTGAGTCAAACTGTCAGCTTCTTCAGCACCTTGGCTCTTTGCGTATTTTTTGAGGTCTTCCATGTCTAATTCATAAAACGAAACGAACCAGGACAATCAAAATTCTATATCTGACTGTTGCAATGAATAACAAGTTGATATTGAAGGTATCATCTATGTATGTTACCTTGAACGGCTGGATCCCAGGAAGCACTACGAAGCTTCTCTAAAAGCTCTGCTACTTTCTCAGTAGTGGCCATTTTCACAGCCATGCTTACCTAGAACAATAGAGAACCACATTAAGCCAATCAGAAAGAAAAAAGAACATTATTACTCAGGTTGGTGACTCTACCTCAGCGTAATTCTGGTAACCAAGCAGCTTAGCTTTATCCAGTCGAAGCTTCAAGATTTGGTCAATAATTGCTGTATTATCCAAATCACCAGAAGAGGCACGAGAGAGATAAGCACGGTAGACTTCCTCACGCAGAGCACGGTTTTTGGCATGTTGCATGACGGGAAGATAACTAGGAGCATCCAGTGTAATGATCCATGGTCCACTCTCAGCAGTTGCATTTTCATGGCCCTTGTGTCACACATATCAAGAGTGAAAAAACTGACAAACCACAAAGAAAAAGAAACATGGAACGTTGCATATATCTCAGTTGATATTGAGTACCTTGGACACAGCAGCTTGTGCAAACAGCCCAAGAGCACTTGGAGGCAATCCCTCAATCTCTTTCTTGTCTGTTATCAACTTCTCAAACTTCTTTGTAGCATCCAAAACATTCTCAGAAAACTTGTGGGAAAGTTTTTCGAGTTCCTTCAATCAAATAACAAAAACTGAGTAAGCATACTAATATTGAGAGATTACAAAGCTGTGAGAGACCCCGAACCAGTTACCTGTTCAATTTTGTTAAACTCTTCTCTCTTTTCGTCGTCAAGAGCAATACCAGTGAGAACCGCCTCCTTTAATTGTGCTGAAATCACGATGAAACCAAAGTTAGCGCTGTAGATTTCACACAAAGAGTTACAATATATGCTTTCTCTTTCACTACTTACCTTCTACTAAACGTTGACGAGCTTCACTGAGCGATGACCAATCAGCAGATTCTCGAATAGCTTTGAAGGCTTTGTGAAAAGGCTTGCTCTGCCCAAGCCTGAGCTGAAACTTCACCTTCTCTGGCTGCAAGAGGAACAGTTTGGTTAGCAAAACAACAAGATATGAATTCCAATTTCACAAACAAGCATATGAGAGTATACATGTAATAGCTTTCACCTGAACGTCTTCAATGGCAGCACGGAGCTCAGGTGTGTCCTTGACAGCCTTAAGGTGACTAATCGTTCCCCAAACAACAACTAACCGATCAACGAGTTTCTCTAATGGCTCCACCAATTTAGGCCATGACGGCTCCACGGATTTCTCTAGCTCCTCCAATTCAGCTTCCTGAAAAAATCCAATCAAACCATAAATGCCGATAACAGATACATGATAGGCTATCGTACTCCGATGAGGAAATCGGAAACGAAGAAAGGGATACATACGAGTTGCTGCAACAGAGCACGAATCCCAGGACGGACATGTTTCGCATCAACGGAATCAAACGGAGGGAAATCGAAATCCTGCAGGAGTGGATTCGAGGAGAGACTCTCGTCGGAGACAGCAGAGTCCACGGCGGAGGCTGCGACGGCGGAGGACATGGAGGGAGGAGAGGATGAGAAGTGACGGAAGGAGAGAGAGGAGGTGGAAGTGGATCTCGGAGGGAGACAGAAGGAGAAAGAGGAAGACCAGATGGGGCAAGGATATGATTTACGGAAAGTTGAGGGACGAAATTGAGAAGAGGAGAAAAATTTAGAGTTTGGTAGTTTTGGTGGTGAACGACGGAGAAGACTGAGAGAGGCTCGAGACGTAGTCGCCATTAGTGTGTTTGCTATTACAAGCGTTGCGATTATTGTTATTCTCTTCATTTTTTTTCGTTTTTTTCTTCTTCTTTTTTTTTTCACAAGTTTTTGTATGGTTGTGTGATTATGTGAGGTTCCCAAGTCAATGCTATTGATGCGACAGACAAAAGGATAATTTTGTCAGTTAAAATTAAAGCTATATTTGAACTAGTTTTAGTTTTATTGTCCTTCTGTCAAAAGCTGGAATAGCTCAGCTGGTTAGAGCGTGTGGCTGTTAACCACAAGGTCGGAGGTTCGAACCCTCCTTCTAGCGTTTTCCTTCTTTTGAGTACTTATTTTTTGTGTCCTTCGAAATCGGGATCTCAAACTGTTGAGGACATGTCCCCAACCAATTGAACCAAGTTCGATTTGGAATTAGAGATTCCTGGTTCTAACTTATTATTTTGTAAAGTAATTTGGAACTCGAACCGACATTTCCTCTGACGCCTTTTTTAATTGTTTTATGAAAAACAGTAATTAAACAAACTCTCTTTCAAGATTAGCTCATTGACCCTGTAATATATTTTAATCAAGAATATATATTTTAATTTCGTATGTGTTTTTAATTGTAATCGTATGTTCGTGTATATGGTTAGTTTATGTCTTGATTTTTTTTTCCCTAAACAATATTATATTATTTTACCAAAACACATACAAAATACAAATCAAAACGAAGAACTTATCATAAATTTTACCAAACCACATACGAAATATGAATCAAAACAAGAACTTATCATATATATGGACAATTTACAAAAGAAAAGAGAACTGGGAAAAAAAAGAAATTGTAGTTTTTTCTTTTGGGCAATTATATTTTGTACCTCACGCATAGGCAGCAAAAGGAGATGCGGAATTACTGTGACCTTTGCCGACGTAGTGATAATGTGTATAATCCGTACACAAAGGAATAAGATGTATTCCCCGAATAATTGTGTTTTGTAAGAGATTCACCTCATAGAAAAAGAATTGTAGATCTGATAATAAAAAAAAAAAAACACATTTTTGCAATGAATGAAGAATGAACTCATCGGAAGATAACTTCCTCCTCTGATCATTGAGAAACACTACGACTACGACTACGAACAACCCAGAAGGAAAATAAAACAATCCCATTGGAAAATACTTTCCTCGATCATTTAAAACACTATGAATACAAACAATTCAGTATGAAACTACGTTAGAAACTCTATAAATTAATATTTGATAAATTAATAAACACGATAAATTTATCCAGTCCCGAGTTGAGCCGGTCTAAAAAATGACACAATTTGATCCACACGGTAAATCTACATACTACAATACTAATACAAATCACTATTTTAGTAAATCAAGTATTTTAATTTAAGATAGTTATGTTTTGCGCCACAATTTCCAGATAATTGTTTAAAAGGCGTTATAGTGAGAAAAAAAAACCCGTTAATGTGCCCATGTAATTGCATACATTATGATTGTAATTAGGAAGGAAATGTGGAAAGCTGGAAAAAAGCTTTTGCAGCAGATGAAGGCAGCGAACCTGATGCCTAGTGTTGTAACTTACACATCTCTTCTAAACGGGTATGAGAAAACAGGTACAAGATCCGAAATGTTTGATATATCGCTGCAGGAATCGAACCAGACAACATAATGTACAGTGTAATCATAAGTGCTTTCCTGAGAGAAGGGATGACGACGAAAGCGCTTGTGGTAGTGGATGAAAAAGTCTGTAGAGAGTAAACTACTTGCCCACGAGTTTACAAGTCACATTACATATCGCAATACCTTGTTCGATGAGAGGTTCCAAAGAAGAGACAAGACCACGTTCAAGTTATAGCGAAAGCAATGTAACTTTCGTATTGTGTTGTTGTGTGGCCCAAATAGGACAAGGATCCGACAGCTCCTTTTATCAAGTTATCAACAATCTTGTCCAAATGATAAAGACAGTGGAACGTAAATCACAATTACTTACAAAAATAATCATGATTATAGCTGATAAAACTATAAGTACACACGTTATTAATTACACTGGATTCACATTGTATACCATTTTGGTACCAAATGAAGATAACTATTTCAACCAACAATGTTCGCCAACAAAATACAAAACAGTTTTCAATGCAATGAAAATTCTTCATAAAACGATAAATTATGATTGGACCGCCAAGAACATTACCATAATCTACATTATTTTCTACTTTTTTTTTGTCAAGTCATTTATTTGCTTAGACTTTAGACCCTAACTCTTTCGTCGATTATAAAAACCAAATTTCCACTCGGTCAATAAACATAATAAACACTTTCTATATTCAAAAAATGGAGAGAGATCTCGCTATCACCAGCCGCCGTAGACCAGCGTACTCCACCGGTCGATGCTTGAATTTGCCGTCGTCTTGTCTCTCACTAATCCACGCAGAAACAGAGTATGCTCGTATCAGTGACCACAACAACAAGAAGACAAGCTCAAGTCCAAGATTAAGGACCTTGTTAAGAAGATTATTATTGGTTAGGAGTTACGGATCCGTGAACACAAAGCCGAAGACGTTTCACTACGATGCTGTGAGTTATTCGCAGAACTTCGACGATGGTTTTAGTTTGCGCGATGATGATCGTAGAGTTTTTAGAGATCTCCAAAGACAGAGTCGGGATCAGTGAATTTTGCTTTCTCTTTTTTCCTTTTTCGAACATATTTATCAAATTTTCTTAATCACCTTCGAATTATGTTTATTATACATATGCATCTGGTGTAAATGTATGTAGTGTTCCTGTGTTTGTATTTGTTTGTCAAAAATTGTTCCTTACCGTTCTTAAATTACATGTGTACGCCCCCACAGTTTTGATTTATTACATTTGTTTGTAAAATGTTCCCTACAGTTTTGTTTATTTAGATTTGTACCCCAATAATATTGTTTAGAAACCTCAGGCCCATGCTTTTACCAATAGTCTCCACACGAACAAGACCCATCTCTGAAATGATGAAACCTCTTGGAATCTCTACAGCTAATCTCTCTCTTTATAACTCTTGACACAATCTTGATCCAGTTATGACAATCAACACAAACTCTAAGGTTCTTTAGAATCCTTATACTCCCACCAACATTCCTCCAAACTGCAAATGCAATAGCCAGTTTCTCGCTATGCTGATGCAAAGACCTCTCTTTTGCACTCTCCTCCATGTCTTGAAACACACAGCTTTTGTCTTCAACATACCCCAAATCTCTTGCCATCTTAATCAGCTCTCCAAGAGTTTCAAGAATCTGCTCCGAGTTCGAGTGCGAAAGCAAATCTCCAGCCATGAACGTATGCGTCTCTTTATCGACCTCAACCCAACTCATTGCTGGATTCTTCTTCAGCTTCATCTCCTTCATCTCGCTCTTCATCTCAACCACTCTGTTCCATTTCCCCGTCGTTGCGTAGAGATTCGACATCAGGATGAGAGTTCCTTCATCTCCAGGTGCAATCTCAAGGATCTTTCTTTTGATCATTTCCGCCATCTCTACATTTCTATGAATCTTACAGGCGCTAAGCAACGTCCTCCACAGAACCAAATCAGGTTTTACCACCTCCCTTATCAGCATCTCCGCCTCTTCTAACCTCCCTGCTCGTCCAAGCATATCCACCATACAAGCGTAATGATCATTCGTTAACACCATCGTACCCTTTCTAAACAAGTCGAGGAATCCGCAACCTTCCTCAACCAATCCAGAGTTGTTACAAGCCAAGAGTACACTCAACACTGTCACATCGTTCGGCTGCAGTCCAAGATTCATCATTTCCTCAAACAAGTCGATTGCTTCACGTCCGAAACCGTTCTGTGCATAACTATACATAATTGTGTTGAAGGATATAACATCAACTTCATACAACGTATCAAAAACCGACCTTGCCATCTCTGAGCATCCACATTTCCCGTAGAGATCGATAAGCCCTGAGCCAGCAAACTTATCTCTATCAAAACCATATTTCGTCATTACCCCATGAATCTGTCTACCTTCTTCAAGCATTGCGAGATTCGAACACCCTCTAAGAGCACTTGACAATGTGAAAGAGTTAGGCTTTGTCGAATCACGCATCATCTTTCTAAATCCAGCTAGTGCCATCTCCTCTCTACCGTTTTGTACAAGCCCTGATATAAAAGACGTCCAAGTCACCTGATTTGGGTGCTTGATACACTTGAAAACCCGCAAGGAATCATCAACTAAACCGCACCGCAAATACATTGTAAGAAGAGAAGTCTGTGAAGCAAGAGCAGACTCAAAACCTGACTTGACCGTAAGTCCATGAATCAACTTGCCGTTACCTAAATCCTTCAAGTTTCCACAAGAGATCAACACACTAGCGTAAGTATACTCGTTAGGCTGAACATTTTCCTCCTCCACCATCATACTCTGAAACGCCTTCACAGCCTCTGCATCTTCCCCGTTCTGTGAGTAACCAACGATCAAAGCCGTGATCAAAACCACGTCTTTCTCCTCCACGCGCTCCAACACTAACTTCGCCTCCCTCGTTTTACCAAACTTCACATAGCAATCCACGAGAGCGCTTCCGACGAACGCGTTCGAGACTTCCAGACCCAGAACCACCGCAAGTCCGTGGCTTCTCTGAGCTTCCTTCTCAAGACCCAAATCCGAGAAGGCCTTGAAAACGCTGGACAGAGTGTACTCGTCTGGCAAAACGTTGTTCGTGATCATCAATCTGTACATCTCAACAGATTCTTTATTTCTTCTGTGCCTAATTAAATAAGCGATTAGAGAGTTCCATGTCACAATGTGTCTCTCAGGCATTCCATCGAACAGGTGGCGAGCGTAATTGATCTCGCCGCATTTCAAACTGGCGTCGACGAGTTTGCTCCCGGAGAGTTGGATCGGAAAGCCGGACTTGAGCATCTGAGCTTGGATGCTCTTGATTCCAGATATCGATCTTCCGTCTATGCATTGTCTGAGAAGCGGAGAGAAATCGTGCGTCGTTGTTGGTGAAGAATCACTCGTAATGCAGAGAAGCCTAAATTGAGTATGCAAATAGGATTCAGAGAAGCCTAAAATGTGCGTCGTTCTTGTAGCAAAGACGCGAAGGGAAATTCTAGAGTAGGCGATTAATCCGCCGTAATCTCTTCTCATCACCGGAGCATTCTTCCTCCGGCGAGTATTTTTGTCGGGATTTTTAAATATTGCGCCTTTTTTAACAATTAAGGCTCATCTTATAAATAAGGCCCAACAAAATATTAATGGGCCTTCACGAAGAGCTCTTTTATCTTTCTTTTCATTTCTCGTGATTAAGTTAGCTTCACATGTTTCCAATATTCTTTTTTTGGTTGACTGGTTTCAAGATCGATCCCTCGACCCTCGTAGATAATTTAAGATCTCGATCGAACTCATATGTTGTAATTAATGAAAAAGTGGGTCAAATTACGGCTGTAATAAATGGGAACAGCCAGCGGGTAAATAAGGTGATATATGCTTCTACAAACCGTTTGATAACGATATAACATTTGACCAATCCTTTGATGAAACTGCGTCTTTTACCTTGAGAGTAATTTTTCTTGTCATGTCTCTTTCTCGTGTTTTAAGTTTTTAACCAATTCAAGCATTTACTGTATCTACAACTCCGTAATAAACTTTTATTCGGCTGTAACCAAAAAAAAAAAAAAAAAAAAAAACTCAACGAGAGTGACAAGAATGGAGAGAATATTCATTCGTTAAAAACTCGCATCATTTTGATTTATCAGTCAAAAAACTAATGGTCTAAGACTCTAAAACTATAATAAAAGTAACAAACATAAAAATCTAAAAAAAACTTTAATAAAACATTAATGTTTATGCATATGAAAAAAAATATATATTAAAGTAAAACTGGACATGCGCGAAAATCATTTGCAATAGGTGGTTTTGGAGGTATTTAAGTTTGTATATATTAGAGGATGATCGGTTAAGTCTCACGAGAGATCCATTCTTTGAAGCTCTCACATGTTTCCCATTTTAACTTCTCCGTTCTCTCGTGTTTCTTCACAGATGGAGACGTTTAATCAATCATCGCAACACAATCTTCCAATTTCCTGTTTTTTGGACTTATTATTTATTTATACGGTTTTATATATTCGTCTGCATTGAGGACATCACCTTAACAACAATTTGTGTAAATGGAATCTAATACGTATATAAAACTCAATTGAATCTGATTCTGATGGCAGTTCACTTCGATCACTTCAACAAATGTCAAAAAGTGTTGATTTTTTATCGGGATCTGTATATAAGCCATACAAAATTAATAATAAACGGTTGATAAAATGTCAGAGAATTTTTATGGGTTAATGGTTACATTTATATTTCAAAAGAAAACCTTACAAAGATGTCAGAGAGTTTAAGCTAATGTTCTTTTCCCCCTTGCATCTTCCTAATTAGGTTCAGTTCTCAAATATGTTTCCTCAAAACAATTGACTTCTGACTGATGATTTAGACTCGTCTAACTCCAATTTTATCTGATAGTACGTATGCACATTGAATTGTCTACATGATAATACGTACGTAGTTATCTATTTATCCTTAGTTTCTTGGCAAACGCAATAACTTAAAAGATAACCACATAAAATTATATATATGTCTCTATGTTTCCTATATTTTGTTCCAATAGTTTTGGTTTCCTTAGTAGAGTTGCATACTGCTGACAGCTATAAGTATAGCTGCATGTATGTATGTAAAAAGGAACAAAACATTATTTGTATTTTATAAACCACAAATAGTATATAATAATATTTTAGTCTACGTATAAAGATTGGTGCAGTGCACACTTCACACATAGAAAAAACGTTACCTCAACAATAGAAACAAGACACATAACAAATTCTATCCGATTTGTTCCGATCAACTGCACAGTTATATATGTTCTTCTGTCTTTTCTGCCACTTCATGTCTCTCTCTCATCTCCTCCTTTTGTCTCCATTATCTCTCACTCATGCCTCTCTCTCTCCATACGTAGAAATATGTACAAAGACATTAACTACAACGAGATTTTATGATGAACTAATCAATGCAAACCAAAGTTCTTACAAAAATGGCTACGAATATACACGTCTACTACAATGGCGGTTTAAGATTGTTCATGAGTATCATAGTATGTAAATACAAATACAATTAGCCAACAAGATTCAAATCATTTAAGTATTTCCTACTTTTTGAAGACAAAACACTTTTTGTTTACTTAAAATAAATCAAAATCTATAATTATGCTAAACAAACTTTTAAAACATAAACCCGACCATGAACATCCCCAAATACATGTTCACATTTGTCCGAAAAAAAAAATATAAATGTTCAAATATATACAATCATTTATTTATTTTGTATAAATAAACACCATACGAAACCCTTTCATCGACTGTTCCTCTCTCTTTCTCTTCTTCTTCTTTACTTATTTCCTTCAAAGCAAGAAATCGAAAAGGAACATACTCTCTTCTTCCTTTTCTCTTCTCTCCTCCCCATCATCATCATCATGTCCTCCCATACCAATCTCCCATCTCCTAAACCGGTTCCTAAACCAGATCACCGTAAACCACCGTCTTCCTCCGCCTCTCAAGACCAACAAAACCTAAAATGCCCTCGCTGCAACTCCCCGAACACAAAGTTCTGTTACTACAACAACTACAGCCTCTCTCAACCTCGCCACTTCTGCAAATCTTGCCGTCGCTACTGGACACGAGGCGGTGCCCTAAGAAACGTCCCTATCGGGGGCGGTTGCCGGAAAACCAAAAAATCCATCAAACCTAACTCATCCATCAACTCACTAACGCCTCCTTCTTCATCTCAGAGGTTTTTCTCCTCCATCATGGAAGACTCCACCAAATACTTCCCTCCTCCGACGACAATGGATTTTCAGCTCGCCGGATTATCTCTCAACAAATTCAACGATCTTCAGCTTTTGAATAACCAAGAAGTTCTTGGCCTTAGGCCGCCCATGGAACAGGTCGAAACCACACCCGTTGATGTCGGGTCGGGTTTAACCTTAATGGGTTACGGAGACTACAACAACAACAACCATTCACCGGCGACTTTCACAGCAGCCGGAGCAACCGACGGAAACTTAGCTTCTTCCATAGAGACTTTGAGTTGTTTAAACCAAGATTTACACTGGAGGCTTCAGCAACAGAGGATGGCGATGCTTTTCGGTAACTCTAAAGAAGATACTGTCGTTGTCGAGAGGCCACAGCCAATTCTTTACCGGAATCTCGAGATCGTGAACGCCTCGCCGTCGCCGACGAAGAAAGGAGATAACCAAACAGAGTGGTATTTTGGTAATAATAATGATAGTGAAGGGGTGATTAGTAATAATGCTAACACAGGAGGAGGAAGTGGATGGAACAATGGAATTCAAGCTTGGACTGATCTTAATCATTATAATGCTTTGCCATGATTCTTGGTAAGTATGAAGAAACTATTATCTATAATTTTATATATATTTGTTATATGTGTTTTGTGATGTAATGCCAAAAAATATTTATGTTTGTAGTTTTTTCTTGTTTGTTTTCTTTGGATGTTCTTTGTAGTCAGATTTTGTTGTTGTTGTTGGTTACTATTTTAGTATTTTAAGTTTCAATCTGTATACAAATGAAAACAAAATTGGGGATGGAATTTAAGAATGAGGAAAGATACTACAATAGATTCTCTACATTTACAATTGTCTGTATTTTTTAAACTATTTAATGTTGGAAAATTTGGAAGCAAGAGTTACTGTTACTGTGCTTAATTGTTGAAAGGCTGGTGATGAAATGTTCAATTAGTGACTTATTGGATGGTTGTAATCCCAAGATTAATCATAATTCAAAAATTTATAAATGTCATTTTCAGTCAACATATATTGTCTCCTTGATATTGTTGTAGCATCTTTCATTTTTTTATTTTTTTTAAACTGAGCCTAACCATACACACTTTGAGTCAAGCAGAGTAATCGACCATCCACATCAATTGTAATACCCAAGTGAAAATTTATGCCTCGACAAATAGTGAGCGACATTTGTTAAGACATCGATATTTGTGCAGCAAATTGAAACTATAGATTGATGTTACATTAAAATTTTGTCAGTGAAGTGTGGACTAGTTAATGAACATACAAGCATATAGCATCTATGTAGACACTGAACTATGTCGAGTCTATGTGAAACATAGAGATCAGGCCTTAGCCTTCTTTTGCAGTCTCTCTTTAGCCCCATCCTTAGATTCGCTCTACATATATACATACACATGAACACGCATACATACATGCATATATGTTGATGTATGTATGTGTACTATGTAGTATATGTACATCGTCTTGTTACTGATCTATGGCAATGTCTGCAAGAACTAACGTCTAATGCAGAAGTAGGCACGTGCATTATTTCATCATTTTATATATTGCATTAATTAGTCCTAAATTGTGAAAACACATACACAGCATTACAGGTTGTAGATACAAATTATGCAGAGCTTGGTTCTAATTCTAACGCTTAATTTGAATTTTGTTTGTTTCTGAAGAGAGAAAACGTGTTTGTGGGTTCTAGAAGAATATTTAACTTGTAAATACTAATCTACTTTACTTATTTTTAATCCTTTTTCTAGCCATGCATGCGACTGTTACGTTCTTTACCCGATTACTTTGACTATAAAAAGAAATCGTGGTCCCATTATGTAATTTAATTTTTCACCTTTAGCGTTTAAATGGTACATAGATCTACTAACAAATTTTCATCATTATTCAATTAATTCAATTTTTTGTTTGTTTGTTAATGAATTAACGATCGATTCTCAGTGTGCGCATCGCAATCAATTGTGATTTTTAAGTCATGTCATAGTGGTGACGACATGTTCTTCGTATTCCCTCTCTTTTAATCTAAACATCGTTTGAAATTTTCAATGTAAGTTTGATCACAGTACTCAAGATTAAGAAGAATGATAAAACCTAACAGAAAGTCACTTATCTTTGCAAGGCTACAGAACATCTACAAGAATTACCTTTTTTAGGTTCCGATCACTTTTTCAATGTTTCGATCTCTTAAAAGGCAATGTTGGCACTTTTGCATACTACAATCTTCTTTTAAGCTTTTTATGATTGATCAATCGTAACTTTGCTTTATACGATATTATTCATCCTAAGATCATTGTCTTTCGGAGATATTACCTTTTTGTTTTCTTTTCTTTATCATCTCTTCTTTAATTCTCCTAAAAAGGTAATAAAAATCAAGAATCAACCGTTTCTTTCTTTTGGTCGACGACCATGTACATTAACTACGTAAAATAAAAAGCCAAAGTGTAATGTCATATATGACAAATAAATAACTCACAAACTACAATATCTATAATAAACTACAACAAAATAATAATGTAATGAAAGAAATATTTGTGATGATTTAATTAATGAAACGGATAGATAGCGAAGGAGCATGAGGAATGTGAGTATACAAGCGATGTAACTGCCTTTATATCAAACAATATGAATACATTTAATATGTCGCTATTTCACGGCTTTACCACAACAACCTAAACCAATTGCGAGAAAGCTCACGATTTACGACTCGTGAGAGGAGACAGTATAACTACATTGTTTTCTGAAAAATATCTATGGTTTATCAATGTATCCATCGCTCTTATTTGGTGTAATACATTTCTCAAATGTAACGACGTTAGGTTTGAGGATACTGATACGAAACATTCGTTGTGTCTTTGAAATATTTTTTTTGTTTTTGTCGTGTCTTTGAAATGTTTTTTTTTTTTTTTTTTTTCTTTGAAATGTTTATCCACATACATATACAGTTTTATGCTATTCAGAGGCCTTTTGATATCTAAGTACTAATACCAATTAAAGTACATGCATGTATGTGAGCTAAAGTGTGTGAAAGTAGTAAACCATTCCACTTGGCAAGATAGGAGGAAAAGTGGAAAAAGTTAAAACTGTTATTCCCGAACGAGGAAACAAAGCAATTAAACAATAGTATATACAAATGGTTACAACTTTTACTTTTCTTTTGAACCAAGTTTTTGTACATGTGGCCGTCGAACCCAAGAACAAATGCGGAATTTGTCATAACCTCATCGCAAAATAACGTTCTTTTGGTAATGATGGAAAGTAAAAAGAAGACAACTTCAAACACGAAACGAGTTACATGTTTTCTATCACGTCATCTCCTTTTTTTCTTCTTAGTAACCGATATTGTATTGTTTTTAACGACAAAGTTTTGGTGTTATACACAAACACTCAAACAAAAATTTTATTTCAAATTATATTTTGGCTCTAACTATCAAAAGGCTTTTGAAAAAGTAACGCCAACTAAGAAATTAACAATTGACAATAGCTGGGTGTTTCCTTCAAATGTTTTACGTTTTAACTATAAAGACCCATTTAAAAGCCCATTGAGGCCCGTTATGGCACATTGGGCTCATAGCCCTTTCTGGTTCTGAAGGACGATGCATTTCTCACAGAGCCGTCGTGCTGCCAAGTTTATTCCGGTCTCTGTTCTTTGCGTTTTCTTCACCGGAGAGATCCAAAACCCCAACGGATCAAATGATCCGTCGAGTACAACCACAGTGCGGCGCGAGCTTGCCTGGTTCAATCCTGACGACGAAATTCTCGACGGATGTTGCAGTTGCTTCTCCCTGCACTTTTTTCGTCCGCCTCCTCACTCGCCGGCCATTCAGCTCCTCCGTGTCTCCGCTTATTCATACTCTCCCGACGGAAGAATCTGACGCATCGAGCGTTCCACACCGCCTGCTCTCAATTCTCTCAAAACCCAATTGGCACAAGTGTCCGTCACTGAAATCAATGGTTCCGGCGATAAGCCCTTCACACGTCTCGTCGCTGTTCTTGCTCGATCTACACCCCAAAACAGCTCTTGATTTCTCGTACTGGATCTCACAGAGTGGGAGATTCAAGCACAGTGTCTACTCTTATGCATCTCTTCTCACTCTTCTCACCAACAATGGGTACTTGGGTATTGTGTTTAAGATCAGGCTATCGATGATGAAGAGATGTGAATCAGTAGAAGACGCTTTGTTCGTTTTGGATTTCTGTATTCGGATGAGTAAAGAAGAGAGATTTGAGCTTAAGTATAAGCTTGGGATTGGGTGTTACAACACATTGTTGAATTCGTTGGCGAGATTTGGATTGGTGGATGAAATGGAGCAACTTTATACGGAAATGTTGGAGAATAAGGTTTATCCAAACATTCACACATATAATAAGTTTGTCAATGGGTATTGTAAGCTAGGGAATGTGGTGAAGGCGAATCATTATGTGAGTAAGATACTTGAGGCTGGATTGTGTCCTGATTTTTTCACATATACTTCTCTGATTATGGGACATTGTCAAAGGAAAGATTTGGATTCTGCTTTTAAGGTTTTCAATGAGATGGCTTTGAAGGGTGTTCATAGAAATGAGGTTGCGTACACTCACCTTATACATGGTCTTTGTGTAGAGAGGAGGGTCGATGAAGCTATGGACTTGTTTGTGAAAATGAAGGATGAGAACTGTTTTCCAACAGTTCGTACTTACACTGTGCTGATAAAGGCTTTGTGCGGTTCGAAACGGAAGTCTGAAGGGCTTAACTTGCTTAAGGAGATGTCAGAGAGAGGCATTGAGCCGAATATCCACACGTACACAGTGCTTATTCGTAGTTTATGCAGTGAGTGTAAGCTGGATGAAGCGAGAGGGTTGCTGGATCATATGCTGGAGAAAGGGTTGATGCCTAATGTGATTACTTACAATGCATTGATTCAAGGGTATTGTGAGCAAGGGATGGTTGGAGATGCGCTAGAGGTTGTGGAGCTGATGGAGTCACGTGGCGTCAGTCCGAATACACGCACTTACAATGAAATGATACCTTGTTTTTGCAAGAAGAATGTGCACAAAGCAATGGGAGTGCTTAATAAGATGCTGGTTCGCAGAGTGGTTCCGGATGTTGTGACTTACAATTCATTAATCGATGGGCAGTGTAGATCTGGTAATTTTGATAGTGCATATAGATTGCTTGGTTTGATGAAGGATAGAGGGTTAGTTCCAGATCAGTGGACGTATAATAGTTTCATAGATAATTTGTGTAAAAGGAAAAGAGTGGAAGAAGCTCGAGACTTGTTTGATTCTCTTGAGGGGAAAGGTGTGAGTGCAAATGTGGTGATGTACACTGCATTGATTGATGGATACTGCAAGTCTGATCAATCAGACGAAGCTAATCTCATGCTTGAGAAAATGTTGAGTACTGATTGCTTGCCAAATTCTTTGACTTTTAATGCTCTGATTCATGGACTTTGTACCGATGGAAAGTTAGGAGAAGCAACGTTGTTGGTGGAGAGAATGAAGAAGATGGGTCTACAGCCTACAATTGCTACGGATACGATTTTGATTCATAGATTGCTAAAGGAAGGGGATTTTGATGATGCGGAGAGACGTTTTCACCAAATGTTGTCCACTGGAACAAAGCCTGATGTACATACTTACACAGTTTTTATCCAAAGCTATTGTAGAGAAGGGAGACTGAAGGAAGCTGTTGACATGGTGGTGAAGATGAAGGAAGATGGTGTTTCTCCAGATTCCATCACTTATTCCTCTCTGATTAAGGGTTATGGCGATCTAGGGCAGACGGATTCCGCATTTGATGTTCTCAAGCTTATGGTTGATGCTGGTTGTGAACCTTCTCAGCATACCTTTTTGTCTCTGATGGAACATCTGCTAGTGATGAGACATGGAGCTGATAAAATTGGCGCAACAGGACTCTCTCTGATGTCTGATTTGTTTGAGTTTGACATTGTTGTTGAGCTTCTTGAGAAAATGGTAGAACACGGTGTGACTCCAAACGCCAAATCCTATGAAAAGCTGATCAAAGGGATCTGCGAAACTGGGAATCTCGGAGTTGCGGAGAAGGTGTTGGATCACATGCAACGAAACGAAGGAATAACTCCGAGTGAGTGGGTTTTCAACGCTCTTCTTAGCTGTTGCTGCAAGGTGGAAAAGTATAAGGAAGCAGCAAAGGTTGTAGACGTTATGATTTGTGTTGGTCACTTACCACAACTAGAGTCTTGCAAAATCTTGATATGCGGGCTGTACAAAAACGGAGATAAAGAGAGAGGGACTTCGGTTCTCAAGAATCTGCTTCAATGTGGTTATTATCATGATGAAATAGCTTGGAAGATCATTATCGATGGTGTTGGGAAGCAAGGACTTGTAGAGGCATATCATGAACTGTTGAATGTTATGGAGCAAAGTGGCTGCAAGTTTAGCTCTCATACACATTCACTGCTAATTAAAGGACCTCCTGATAGCACATGAGAGGGGTTATTGCCAGAGGAAGCTAATGCAAAATCTACGGAACTCAGATTCCTTTTTGGGATGCGTTACTCGACTGACCTAAACTGGCAAAACCCATCTGTTGTATATGGCTTAAAATCTGCAAGTAGCCTCATTTTTCTGTGATAGTGGCTACAGAGTATATAGATCATACAATAAGGTACATTAACAACAATCTGTTTTAGCTCCTTAAATGTGTGGTGTTTTCAGTATCTCTCTTCACTGACGTTTTCTTTACTTGGTTTCAGGGTCAAACCATGATTCTGTGTTTCTTCCGAATCAACATGGATCTTCGAGGAGTGGATGTGCGGTTAAAGCCTCACTAGCTTCGTGATAAGGCACAGCAAATGGAAGTTCTTGGAAAAAAAGAAATGCCTTTATGCTTGAAGAAAAGGCACAACAAAGGACAAGCCCTTGAAGCAACATTTAACAAATCTTGACAAAAACGGATTTTTGGCTTGTGTTGCGTATATGAATCGTTGATAATCCGGCTTTGTTGTTTGAAGACGTCCGAGGAAGCCGGAGATATGCCGTTAAGTCCCTTATTTTGTTTAGCTCAGAAGAAGAAGATTATCTTTTCTTTTGGTTTTGCTTTTGACATAACTTAATTTTACGATATCTTTTTACACTTTAATCAAATATAAAGATTCACACTTTTCAAGTAAGCACATACTTCTTCGTAAGTACAACTTTAATTTCAAACAGTAGAACATCTTGAATGTAGAGCAAATAATGAAGAAAATTACAGTAATCCCTATCGATGTCAACGAGAGGTGTAATAAGAGTTGAGAAACGCTACTTACGGTGTTTGTGGAATAACACTGCACGTGTCTAAATAACAAACGTTAATTGTACTTGAGACATTATCAAAAATTCATTGATTCCAAAAGAAGTCAATTCTATAATCCGATTCTTCCTTTGGCGCAAGAAGATAATTAAACTGAGATGACATATTAGATAAATACATTGATTGACCCAAAAAGTTAAACCGATAAGGCTATGTGTTACACGCACAACGCAAATTTAAGTACCTTGGTGAGAGGGTAGTTTGTCTCTGTACAAAATGCTATTTGGTAGGTGGAGATCTCAGCTTATCCTCAGACTCATGCTTAAGAGAAGAATCACCTCCCATTAGTTGTTCGAATCCTTCAACCTTAACTGGTTGAGCCCTGACCGTTCCTGTTGTACTGCAAATACAATGGGGACACAACTTTTAATACCCGTCCGAGTATGTATAACAATGTGATTTTTGACCTTTTGAGTGTTGAAGCGCTACTTACGGTGTTTGTGGAATTTGCATTGAAGCCAATTGCCTGAATTGGTTATAGCCCTGCTGTTGCTGCTGTGGCAGGTTCGACATTGCAGCCATCTGATGCTGCCTCATTTGATTCTGTATCTGTTGCTGGTGTCTTGGGTTCATAGGGTTGAAGGCATTTCCATCTACTGCCATTTCTGAAGGATTCTCAAGCTTTACCTGAACCAGCGGCTTTTCCATATCCATGTTGGGTCGCGGTGATGTAACTTGACGCCTACGGATTCTCTCCAGATGTTGCTGCTGCTGCTGCTGCTGTTGAAAGGTTTGGGAGTTATTAACCATCTGCTGCATCTGTGGATGCATTTGCCTCTGCATCTTCAATTATATCAAATCAAGAACTCAGATACGTTAAACCAGATAACAACGACTGAAACCATTTCAATGATAAGAGCAAACAAGCATTATGTACATACTTGTGGTGGTACCCGGAGAGGACCTTGTTGCTGCAGATGCAACTGTTGCTGAAGCACTTGTGGTTGCTTCTGATTTGGTGGAGGATGGCTCCTAGTACCATCCTTAACAAGCTCTGCTAAACTCCCAAGATTACTGAAAACAATGGTGTAAAAGATTTCAAACTTCACTGAGAAACAAGCTCAATCTTCATAAATCACTTGAATGAGACGAAACCAGACTCACCTATATCCAGTGGTATTGAGGAACATCTTAATCAACTGCACAGCTGAACACTCCTTCTTGTAACTGTCAGAAAGAAGCTTCAAAATACGGCCTAATTTAGAGATATGTCGGCTAAGCAACTGAGAGAAGACATCAATCGGAGCCTCTGTTGCACCTTCAAACCCCATAGTCAAAAGCATGCGTGCAACAACTTTCTGTGACACCTGAGCCGCTTGATCATCACTAAAACCCAATTTCTCAGCTTTTCTACGGCGCAAAACTCCTCTGTCTTCCATCCTAAGGTACTCAGGCATCATCCCAAGCCTCTCAATCATAACATGATTCCTGGTAGCAACTTGCGGCAACGTATCAAGCACTCCATAAAACTCTGTTTTCAAATTCTCTTGTGTTCTGGTAATCGGCGAAAGAGCAGTCTCAGGTACACAGTTCATTCTAAACATCGTCTCAGGAAGAAACAGTATATCATCTTCAGAACTACTTCCGTCAAAGCCTGAGCTTGGATGTGTACTAGTTCTACTCATATGAGCTCGGTCTTCTAGAAAAGGTGCACGCTTTCTCTTGTGACTATCAACGACTCTGAGGTAAGTAGACATCCCTTCCGGTGTGCGTTTGTCAGACTCTTGTCCTCCAACGGAGATCCCATATTTGAAACCATACCTTGATATAAACTGAGTGTACCAAGTGTCTGGTAACTCCTCATACCTAGACCTTTGAGCAAGGCTACTGAAATCAGACTCACTGACTCTCGTCGCAGAGCTAAAACTTGGCTTTGATAGGCTCTGGAACAATTATCACCATAGAAGTTTATTCAGCAGCATTAGTGCTCAAAGATCCCAAACAAAAAGTGAATCCTTTGGAATCAAAATTAAGTTGTAGACATTCAGTAAAATGGAACTCCTTGACTCACCTTTTGTAAAGTCGGATTGTGGCGAATCACTCCGTCTCGCTGAAACCCAGCTTCGAGAGAAGCGTTCTCTAAAGTATAGTACACATCATCTCCGTGAAGCTGTAAATCTGAAATGAACACAATTTCAACACCTGATTTTGAATTTGGTAAGAACAAAGCTACAGAAAAGGAAACCCAACATACAATTAGGATTGAGCTTCGACACCGCGGCGGAAGAAACATTGGAAGATGATGAAGCGGCGATAGTGTTGGATCGGAGGAAGAGGGAGACGATGGCTTTGTCGAAGAGGAGAGCGCGAACGCGGAGCTGGAGTTGAATCTGAGCCTTGGACTTGGATTCATCAACGCGCATAAAGGCTTCCCAGGAGGAAGGAGAGGAAAGGTAATGGTGAAAGGAGGAGTAGATGGAATCGCCGAGCCATGTCCGCCACACGCCGGAGACTTCAAGTCTCCTCGCCAGATCGAAGCCTCTTCCGTCGTCGCCGAGCAGTGCCATTGTCACTTCAATTCTGTCTTAATTTTTTTTGGATTAAAGGGCTCTTTTGTTTAATATAAATGGGCTTAGAGGCTTTGGAAGCCCATAGAATTTGCCAGTTACACACAAAAGACAAAACTATTGAAAACTCAAATAAAAGAAAAAAGAAAAATAAGCGCGCCAGGTAGGGGTCGAACCTACGGCCTTCTGCTTAGGAAACAGACGCTCTATCCACTGAGCTACAGGCGCTTCTTGTTACATTTTCACGCTATATATTATTCATATTTTAATGAGTCCTATCATTTATTCGCCAGAAAATGATTTTAACGGAGTAGTCTTGGCTCAAAGGTCTTAAATTAATTGGTCGTCATATAATTGTTCATCTTTTCCATTGATGACGATATCGTTTTCCACTTAGACGTAAACACTTCAATTCACATCCACTATCTATGTGGTTCGGTTAGATTTGATATTTTATGACATGTTTGCATTTACTAAATAATACTAGTGTTGTCTAATTTGTTGTTGGATTAAGTAATTGCCTCTTAAATTAACAATAAATAGATAAGCTACGTTTTCACCTTTCTGCTTGAGAAAATTAGGATTAACGCATGTCACTGATACTTTGTTTGATTACTATTAGTTCAAGTAAATGGGAAATACAAACAAAAATTAACTAAAAACCTAACTGAATTTTCGGATTGAAACAGAAGTGTGTGTTGTGTGACTGTTTTAAGTGAGAACGAAATCGGTTAGACTGACTTCTCCGACTCCGACAGAGCGTGACATTGGTGAGTTTGGTGGCCATTTTGATTTGGACTTTGGGGCCCAATCAAGAGAGAGAGAGATTATACTTGGAGAGTCAAAGTTAGTTAAGGGGTTTAGTTCACCCACTATGCAAGAAACCTCTCCTCAGTCCTCACTATTACCTTTTCTCATTGAAATTACCAATTAACTATAACCTTATTTAAATCCAGTGATGCGTTTAAGAACTAGTTTATCATTTCACCAAAGCCTACAAAATAATCATTTTCCAGCAACGACTTCACTTAACTTGTTAGTTTTATATGAGCTTATCTAGATAATATCACAAATAATCTACACGTGAATGCAACCCTTTTGTAAATCTTGTAAGAGGTCAATGCACAAAACTGTAGCGGCAAATAAATGAAACCGAGACTTCAACAAATAACCATCAATTCTGCTACAAACGTCAATAGTCTAACTTTTCTTTTTCTAACATAAGCAATGGTTTTTTAATAAAAATTACGCCATTTAGGTTTGCTTAGTTGAAATTTTCCCACGAGACGTATAGTTTGTTCCATTTCATTGAAGAAGCCCTTTGTTAGTTACCGACTCAACTTTACTAAACCCATGAACAATCATAGGAAAGTAAACCTGACATATCAATGTTTATAGTTTTCGTTGGATTTTTCGTCCATGCAAAGCGTTCTCTTTTCTAATTTATAATCATGATGTATGTACCCTAGCTAAATCAAAAACTAAATTTTGACATACCTAATTAACTCAAGTTATCGTGTAGTGTAGAGCTTTACGTGGTGGGTCCAACTATGTCGCAGTTGATGTGGTTTGGATAAACGTTTTTTTACTAAGCTTCTTGATGACGCGTGACTATCGTGTCGTCAACCAAAACACTCTCATAAATGTTGTCTACTTTGCTTGGTTATAACAATTTTAAAACGTTTTAAGTTTGATAAAATAATAACGAATGGCTTGGTTTACATTTAGGGTGTGGTTAAAACTTGTTTGCCATATGTTTCATCTGTGGCGCCACGATAACTGATAAACTGATAATAGTGGCGCCACGATAACTGATAATGAGATGGCATGTTCCCACCTCGAAAAATTCACATTCTGCCGCATTTTATAACCTTGTTTCTTGTTATTGAGCAGTGTTACATTAATGAAGAAAATTGCTTGACGGCGAGTCCAAAGAAATAAAAACAAACAAAATGTCAGTATTTCACATGGCTAATATTAAAGGACCCAAATATTAAATGGCAAATTTAGTGAAATTGTAATTCGGAAAAAAAAAAAATAAAAAAATGGTAAGCTCACATTCACAAACATCTTTTAAAGCAAAGGGGATGTCTTGTCTTCTTATTCACCTCTAATTACGAGAATGCCATTGGACTAGCTCCAGAAATTTCAACTGTCGGCGTGTCCCGTTCGTTGGAAAGCGTTAGTTACGGCATCGTATCTTTTCATCTTCTCTCCAAAACCATTAATGTTATTAAATTCTTCGAACGTGAAATTTCAAAATTACATTTCGTTAAAAAATTAAGTTAAAACAGAACTTGACTTGCATGATGGAGTTGTATAAATATAGAAGAGATTCCAATCCAATACTAGTCATCAAAACCTGGTCTCTCTTCTTCTTCTTCAACTTTCTATATCTTCTAAGAATAACCATTTCTAAAGATAATACGAGAACAAAAGAAACAAAAACGATTTTAGAAATTCCCATAAAAAAAAAACCTCTGTTTCTCTCCGGCTCTGTTCTTCTCCTTCTCCCTCTCGGAGATGTTACTCTTCTTCCCCCTTTTACGTTCTGTCTGTTTTCTGGGGGAAATTTTCATGAAGCTTTGAGTTTCTTTCCGATTCAAAGCTTCTCACAGGGAATCCGAGAGGTCGAAAATATCTCCAAGCTATGGCTGTTGAAGGTAAAAACGCTAAATTTAGACTTTTTGTTATAAAAAAAATAAAAACTCTTCCTTTATCTCTGTTATTGTTTTCTGTTTCCATTGAGGAATTTACGCAAACACATTATGTGCAAATCTTCCTCCTTGTTGTTTCATTACAGAGATGAAGAAGAAGATTAAAGGAAGCCACGAGAAGGCAGAGACGGAGAACATGGAGGCTCCATCGCCAAGATGCGTGCTTGAAATTCCGGTGAGGGGTTCATATTCCGATAACAGCAGCACAACCAGCAGCAGCAGCAGCTCGTGCTCGCCTGATAAATCACCGTCGCCGTTGTCGACGACGCCTCCGAACGTTTCGTCTTTCCACCACCACGGTCTCCAGTGGAACAAAATGATCGACACGATCAAGAAGAAGTCCGTGAGGAGATTCTCCGTCATCCCTCTCCTCCAGAGCTACGAGCTCACCCGCAAAAACATGCGGCGGAAACAGCCCAAGCTCTCCCCGTCGCTGGAGACCGAGATCGACTGCGACCAGATCCTCATCGCGAAACCCTCGTGGCGGAATTTCACGTACGACGAGCTCGTCGCCGCCACCGACAATTTTAATCCCGGTAAAAGTTCAAAACTTTTGAAATGACGATAATACCCCCAAAGCATGGGTCTTGATTTTTGAATGTAAATGTTGTTTGATAGAGAATATAATTGGGGAAGGAGGACATGCGGAGGTGTACAAAGGGGTGTTACCGGACGGAGAGACGGTGGCGATAAAGAAGCTGACGAGGCACGCCAAGGAGAAGGAAGAGAGAGTCAGCGACTTCTTGTCGGAGCTTGGGATTATCGCACACGTCAACCACCCAAACGCGGCTAGGCTTCGCGGTTTCAGCTGCGATCGCGGTTTGCATTTCGTGCTCGAGTACTCTCCTCACGGCAGTCTCGCTTCTCTACTCTTTGGTATGTACACTCTCCATATGACTGACGAAAACTCTGTTCTTGTGTGTTTTTCAGACATTGTTGTTGTTCTTTGTGTTTATTTTTTTGAAAACTTTATGTAGCATCTGAGGGGGGTTTGGATTGGAAGAAACGGTATAAAGTGGCTTTGGGGATAGCTGATGGTTTGAGCTATCTTCATAATGATTGTCCTCGACGAATCATTCACCGTGACATCAAAGCTTCCAACATTTTGCTCACTCAAGATTTCGAAGCTCAGGTATTTGCTTGATTGATTCAACAACAGCTTTTGTGTGTGGATTCAGTATTCATATGAATCGTTTTTTTTTTTGTGTGGAAGATATCGGATTTTGGACTTGCAAAGTGGCTCCCAGAGAACTGGGCTCATCACATTGTTTACCCCATCGAAGGCACTTTCGGGTAAGACAGAGGATTCCACAGCTAACATCTCTAATACTAATAATCTCTAATGTACATTGTTTATGTTACAGATATCTAGCGCCAGAGTACTTTATGCACGGGATTGTTGATGAGAAGACGGATGTGTTTGCGTTTGGGGTATTACTCTTAGAGATCATAACTGGTCGTCGAGCTGTTGATACAGCTAGTCGGGAAAGCATTGTCATGTGGGTAATGATCTCTCAAACCTATCTCCTTCTGTTTTTCTACGTCTTCTAATATCAAACAGTTGAAAAGAGCTTTAAAATGTTGTTACTTTTGGCAAGGCGAAACCTCTTTTGGAGAAGAACAGCGTGAGAGAAATAGTTGATCCTCAGCTAGGAAATGACTTTGACGAAACCGAGATGAAACGTGTCATGCAAACAGCTTCAATGTGCATACACCATGTAGCCATTACGCGTCCTGACATGAACCGGGTATGTCTCAAAACAAAACCAGTCTCGGTCTCAATATCAATATGCTTGTCATTAACTATGGTTCTGGATGCAGTTGGCGCAGCTGTTGCGAGGAGATGACCGGTTATCTGAGCTGCAGCAGAAAACAGGCGGAGCAAGAAGTCTCGACGGCTGCGACTTACAAGATCACACCTCTTCCTCTTACCTTAACGATCTCACTCGCCATAGGCAACTCTTAATGGAGTGAAGCATTTCTGACACAAAACAATCTCAAAACTCTCCAACACACACAGAAGAATCAAACAACAACAAACAAAAACTGTGGTTTTTTCTCTTTCTTTCTTGCTTGTGAATTTCTGCTTCATCTTCTCCATTGTAAAAATCTCCAAAAAGAGGGAAAGTGTTGTATGTATAATTTGGCAATAGTCCCAGCTTCTGCTTTTTCTTCAGTTACTCTGCTTTTGTCAAATAATAATATAGTTTTGTAGAAAATGAATTTTCCAGAGTACTTATAAAATTAAAAAAAAAATAGTGGGAAAAGAAATTATATAGTCTCTCTGACTCTCGTTGGTTTTTACTTTTTAGTCTTCTGAGATTCACAGAAAGCAACGAAGAGAAATGGAGACAGAAACGATCATGCAAGGAGCAACTTTGCTACTAACCTTCATTATGTTCTGGGCGATTAAGCATCTCTCTCAACAAGGCCTAACCAAGTTCCGAGCCAAACACCGAGCCACTCTCCAATCCCAGCGTCAGCTCATCCAAGCCACTCGTCTCCTCGCTCGGGCTCGAAGCACCTCTAAGAAATCTCAATCCCAATCTCTCGCCAAGACCGCGCTCACCGAAGCCGACGACGTGATCGCGATTTCTCCAGATGATGCCGCCGGTCACATCGTCCGTGCTCTAGCTCTGGATCTGCTCGGTCAGCACACCGCCGCTCTCAAATCGTTCGACACGGCGCTGACTTATCCGCGACTGAAGTCTCTCTCGGTGGGAGAACGCGCCGATGCGCTTGTGAAGAGAGCTGAAATGAAGCTGGCTGTGAATCGCCGACGGAGGATTGATTCTGCGATCGAAGATCTGGAAGAGGCGACGAGACTCGCCGCCGGCACAGACACGGCGAGGATTCTCCGTTTGTTGGGAGAGTGTTACGAGTTCAAAGGCTTGAATGATAAAGCCCAATGGGCTTCAAATGAAGCCTCGAAAACCCAACATTAGTTCGTAGCTTATTTCTTCTTATTCACTTTGCACCCCGCTATTTTTAATTATTTCCGGTTCGTGACTATTAGTTTGTAAAACTCCATCGTTGACCTTAAAATGCGAGAGATTTTCACAAAATGAAAACAGAGTAACTCATAGATTCGAAAATCAAAACAGAGTTGCACCGATAAGCCGACTGCATTACAAAAAATTAATTCAAACCAATAAACCATCCCTAAAAACAAAATAAAAAAAAACACTTTTCTCAACTCCTCAGTTTACTTTTAATACAAAACTGACCCCAAAAGTTTCAGATTCTTCAACTTTTCCCCCCTCTACTTCTATCAGCATATAGGTTAGCCAAAACTCTAAGCAAGAACGAGCCAACGAACCATATGGTTTCAGTAAGACTGGTTAGGCCACAAAAAGTACTCAGCTTGGACTGTGGAGTCAGAGGCCAAAGGATAATACGGGAAGAAGTTCTGGTGATGGTAGAGAAGTGAAGGCTCGTATGGAATTCCACATGGGATAGAGAGATCCGAGGAAGAAGAAGAAGGAAGCAACTGCTGCTGCTGCTGTTGGAAGTTATGGTCGGAAGAAGAAGAAGATTGAGGAGGAGATTCAAGAGAGAGCCTGTGGCGTTTAGCAGCAGCAGCAGCTCCAACGGGGAAAGAACTATTCATGATGGCTTCCACGTCGTAACGGTTCATCTCAAAGTTGGTCACTGCGTTGATTCCTCTGAACTTTATGGCTGCAATGTCGTAAGCCTCTGCAGCTTCCTCTTCCGTAGCTATATATGATTATTGATGAGTCAATGTCTATTTCTAAGACAAACGTTATTGTTTAAAGAGTTTTGAATATGTTTTACCAAATGTTCCGAGGTAAAGATCTTTGTTCCCTGCGACACGACCGATTCTTGCTTGCCAACGACCTTGTTGATGATGCCTTGTTACACCTCTATACATTGAAGCTCCTCTCGAGAAACCGCTACTCTTCCTGAGAAATCATTTAGACATACCAAATTTCATTTAGAAAGCAAGGACATAGTTTGTAGTTGTAAATAGCAAATCTTTATTTTGGACTCACCTCCTAAGAGATGCAATGAACTCTTGCTTGGTCATATGATTCATCTCCTCCACTTCTTGTAAATAACTCGAGCTCTATAACAAATTGGGCGATGATAAGTTAAGTAACGAGCATACCAAGAAGTGCAACAGAGTAAGTTAGCAAAAGGAGTGAAGAAGGAAGAATATAAACCGGAAAGTTTGTAGTAGCAGTAGGACCCCAGTATTTTATAGCTGCCAAGTCATAAGCTCTAGCTGCTCTATCTTCTTTGTCATATCCACCTTGAACCATTCAAAGTGTATAATGATAGCCAAATTCAATATAAACCGATAAACAGAGTTATGGATAGAGTATTATTGTGCTTACCTAAGTACACTGTTGAAGCCGAGATGTGAACAAGAAACCATATTTGAAGAGGCACATGCAAAATGAAGAAGACGGTTTAGCCAAAACATGGATCATTCACAAATCACAATGCTAGTATTTGAATATTTTTACAAATTACTACAACACTCTTGGTGAAATTCATATTAACAAACATTTTTTTTTTGAAGTGATAAAAGGGACAAGAGGATTGATTAGGGTCAAAGCTAGATTCCTGGCTTTGTGTTCAAAACTTAACATCACACTTTGCTTTTGTGTGTGATGTGGAAACAGCACATAAATCAATCTGACACATTGTAGACACAGAAGAGCCCTACAAATCAATCTCTTAAACCTAAAAGATTTTGAGCATTCAATTTCAAAGCCAAAATAAAAAGCTAGTAAAAGAACATATGCACAGTGTCTAAATAGTCTCGTACATCACATGCCTATAATGCATACATGTCATATAATAATATGGGAATAAAGGGTCAAAAAACGGGTCCAAAAAGTACGTCAATCAAGAAACAGAGATTGCATCACGTAGGCATCAGTATTGGGTCCCATATAGGTGAAACGAGAGATTGCTCTAATAAAGACAATGAACAAAATGGCGGCACCCTTCTGATGAAAAATTCAACCAAAAGATTTATACTTTTATAATTGCTACTTGTTAGTCCTTTTAGTTTGAATTCTCTCAGTTGGTTTTGTTATTCGCTTCACATAAGAGCCATATATAACAAAGTCTATCAATCATCAGTTATAAAGAGATAAGATAACACCAAAAATAAAAGCTTTGCATGCATTTTCCTTTTGCTTTTCACTTTTTCTTTGACAAAACATTTGTACTACTTCCCTCACCTTTTGATTTTACTCAACCACAGCAAAGTAAAAGAATAAACGCTGTTTTTGACCCATATATCATCTTTAGTTTTAACTATTAAAAGAAGCAAAGATATTTTTTTTTAAAAAGAAAAGGTTTTTGATTTCCAAACTGAGAAAGATATCATCATCCCCAACTATATGATCATGTTTATCTAAAACTGATCCCAGTGATTGGTAGTAATTGGTTGATTATTGAGATGAAAATAATTCAAAATGTTAAAAAAAAAAAGATGGAATAATAATAAATTTACCTTGACGTCCTTTTCTGGCTTGACCTTCTCTCCTACAGCTATTATCCCATAGATGCGCTTCGTATCTTCCCGTCCATCTATGTCTGCATCAATCACACACATATTTTGAACCTCAAAATCAAATCTTTTTCCACACCCATGTGCATTAATTATTTAAATAAAAAGCAAACTTTGGGAGGGATCTCTAGATTTCTTGATCCTTGCTCATACCCCACATTGCATTTCCAAGCATCAAAAAAATGTTAACTTGAATTTGCTAATCCCATTTATAAACCCAAATACATCAATTTTTATCCCACCCATAAGGAAATATCAAAACTTTAAGCAATTACATGAAAAAGTTTGAAACTTGATTAGATATTTATCATTAAAGATGTCATAATTTAATTACCTGGTGACTCCTCGATAAATCGAAGTTCGTTGACCAAATGTCTCAGCGATCTTCTTCTTCGAATCGTCCGATGATTCCACCGCCGTAGCCGCTGTTACCTTCTTAGAAACCGTCTTTTTACTCTTCTCGCCACTCTCGCCGCCATTATCGCAGCTTAAAGGACCAACCGTGTCGTTAACCGCTAGAGACAAAGCTTCTCCTTCGGTGCAACCACCGTTAAAACCTAGCTCCGCCGTCGTGGATGACTCCATAACCTGGCCGCCGAGAAGCTCGCTGCCGTTCGAGAGATGAGTCCGTCCGACGGAGGCCGAGTCATCGGCGAGTTCTGAGGCAGAGTTCGTCTGGAAACAAGCGACCGTCTTCAAATCGTGGTGATGATCGGAGAAGAAACTTGCAACTTCAGCTCCAGTATGGTCACGTGGATCGTAGAAATGTGTCAGAGGAGGAGAGTCCTGTGTTGTGTCGGTTAGATTATCGGAGTAACGGACGAAAGAGGAAGAAGAATCGCCGAGGAAATCTTCGAGTTTGGGAATATGAGACTGAGAACGAGTTTCAGAGTCGAAAAACATGGCGTCTGTTGCTGAATCCGCCATTGAAGCAGCTTCTTCAACCTCAGCTTCTTCCTTGAAAACTTCAATGAAAACCAAACAAAAAGTTAGCAACTTTATTCATAGTATTATGCCAAAAGAGATGAAATTGGTGATTTTTAACCGGAAAGCAGAGATTTTTAGATGCCTCCTTTTAGTTCTTAAGGAAATCTTAAAAAGCTCTTCTTTTTCCTTTTCTCGGGAAAAAGACAAATTAAGCAACCGAGAAAAGGAGGATGTGTGAGCTCAGCAAAACTCGGTTTAAAGAGGATAAGCTGGAAAAGTCATATACGTCACTTGGCAAATGAAATTGAAGAAGAGATTTTTTACCATAGAAGTTATCGAGATAAGGTGTTGAAGAAGAAGCGTCATAAGAAACGAAGTGAGATTGATCAGGCGATTTGAGCATCTCCATTGGTGACAGAGAAAACGTTAACCAATTCGCCATCAAAGCTGTGTGTGTGAGAGAGAAAGAGGGAGAGAGGTTCTCAAAGGTTTAAACTTTTTTTCAAGTGAAATCTACGGATAGAGACAAAAGAGGATTAATGAAAGCAACTCTTAAAAGCGAAGAGTGGAGAAAATGGTTTTATTGTGTTTATAAAAGATAAAAAGGAGCTGATAAAGCGGTTACAGTCACTAGCTAATTAACTTTTAGAGGTTCTTCATTTTTTTAGAATATTTTAGAGAGCAACGCATAAGAAAAGAAGAAGGAGAGAAGAAGATAAATCTCTTTATGGAGAGAGTGTGTGTGTGTGTGTGTGTGAATGTAGAGTAGATATGAGAGAGAGAGAGAGAGAGAGAGAGAGAGAGAGAGAGTAGAACGGTTTCTTCTGTGACGACCGGCGTAAAACCGGAGGGGGCTTTTGCTTTTGTATTTTAAAAGAAATCATTTTGCAAAGACACATATCATTTGCTTGCAGATTACGTGTTAAGCTAAAAGGAAACTAATTTAATAAATACATGTATAAAAAGAAAAATTTGAGGTGAACAACATCTATGATAGACAATGTTTTGAGTAGGTGGAGGAGGTGAGGAGCTTTTAGCACTGCGGAAGATAAATTCTGTCTGGAACAGAAGGTCGCAAAATATCTGGGGGACAAAAGATAACACACATCACCATAGTCATTAACAACTCTGATAATTACTGTTAGTAAATTAATTTTATAATGACCTCCCTTAATCAGTAATGCCATTAACAATTTGCACCGTTTAAAAGTTAAAGTCGGTTTACAGAATTCCCACGTGTCCTTCATGCAATGCAGATTGCTTCCCTTTCCACTCTTACAGATTTACGGTTTTACTTTTACTTTTTATCCTTCATCCGAGCTTCAAATATATTTGTAGTTTGAGCTCTTCCTTCCGTTTAATAAAGGAAACAACTTATAATTCTCGATAGAAACAATTTCAACGAAACGAACAAAAGACTTTCCAAAGAATATCCAAAGAATAAAAATCTAAAACTTAAAAGGAATTTGAAAGTTAAAGTAACAAATAGTAGCTAGACCTTTTGGGACAAAAAAAGCCATTGGGACAACAAAAACTGAAAACACCTTTGATCTGTTTTATTTCTAACCAATCAAAGTATTAGTAAAAAGAAATTTCAGTAAGATATTCATAAAGATTATGTAATTCTAACAAAATGGGTGGAGGAGACACCCCTCCAGATGGTAAGGCGGGTATGTAAAAACGAAACCAAAAAATTAATTTTAAAATTGTTACAAATACAAAAAGAGGCCCTGCAATTAAGGCACGTGATTAAGGCCTAATGTCGTATTGTTTACAACATTTTGTATCCTACAATTCTACTTTATTGAACCTCTTACCTTAGTTTATATAATGGGTCAGCAAATCTACCTCCTTGTTTTGTTGGGAAGGTCCAATGATTTGTGCTAAGTGTGCAGCGGTGTAACAGTAGTTGCCTTCAAATCTTTGACCGAAGAGGCACGTGCGCAGCATCACGTTTCTGGTCGAGGATTTCGGTGAAGCACGTGCACATCTGTCCATTATCCTCGTAATCATTTCTCTCTAATCTTTGTTTTTGTTTAAACACGGTCGGATGGGTTTGGTTATATCCTGGGCTTTTTGAACTCCATGTTGGGCCCTTTGAGCCCTAATCCTTTGTATTTATTTATTTCAGATAGGTTTATTTGGAACCAAACAAAAGAAGAAGAAAAGTTCAATGAACATATCTAGTCAACCTCGAACCTAATTGGATATATATGCTTTGGTCACCTCAGATGTTACAACTTACAAGCTTTCACGTCATCAGAATTTTCTTCCCCTCAAATATCTGTCTGTGAAAATTTCATCCTCTTACATGCCTTGATTAGTTAATAATCAAAGACATATTTAACATCCAATGAAAAACATTTTTAATTTCCAGACTATTTCTGTAGTCAACAATACAAAATATAAAAGTCTTTCAAAAGCCATTTACCAGACAAAACACTAAAAGCCTGAACCTTGATTTCATTTATCATCATCATCATCAAAACCCATAAGAAGATGGATGAAAATAAGAATCATGAATTCCAAGAAGCAGCAGAAGAAGGATCAGCAATGGAGAAAGTATATATAGCTGTAGGAAATGATTTGCAAGAAGGTTTCAAGACGATCGATTGGGCTCTAAAGAAATGGAACAACATACCTATCTCCATTGTTCTTCTCCATCTCTGCAACATTTCACAAGATTTTGTCTACACCCCTTGTATAATTCTCTATTTTCTCAATTCACACCTCTTCTTTTCATTTTTATCAATATAACCCACAACTTCACATTTGTGTCTGTCTGTTAGTTGGGAAGCTTCCAGCGAGCTCTGTGAGCGAGGAAAAGCTTGAAGTACTCAGAAAATACGAGGATCAAAAGAGCAACAAACTCTTGTCCCAATACGTTACTTTTTGTGCAAAGGTTTGTCCTTTTTTTCTTTCTGTTAATTCCGTTTTTTTTTTCCGCGGTAGAATTAGAATTGGAAGTAATCTGTTAATTACAGTTACAGGTGAAAGCAGAGTTACTCAAAGTCGAGAAGCAAGATGATTCAATTCAAGTGCTAATATTAGATTTGATCTCAAAGCTTAGAATCACAAAACTCGTCATGGGAATCACTTTCATGAGATCTTCATCTTCCCGGTAACTTTTTTTGCTTTTTGCGAATTGACCTCATTTAAATTATAAAGTTATCAATTTCAACCCTGAAGAATCCAAATTTGCAAATTTTGTTTCCGTGTAACGCAGGAAATCGAAGAGTGCCATAAGCGGATCGTTCTATGTATACCAAAACAAACCAGAGTTTTGCGAGTTTTATATAATTTGTGGAGGCAAAATGGTTTCGCTAAAGAGAGAGAGCGATGCGAACAACATCAACAATAGCAATATCAGAAGCTGGATTGGGAAAATGTTCTATGATCCGGGAAGAAATCTTGACCGTTCATCTGCCAACAGTGATGATCCATCGGCTAGTGGGAGTCCATGGGATAAGCATTTGCTGGAGTTGGAGAATTATTTCCAGCAATTATTGAGTCTAAATCTCGAAGAAGACGAAAACGGTGTCGAAGCAGAAGAAGAAGATGACGTGGCACTAGACGTGCTGCAACATATGGTAAAAGAAACTTTCTCGAGAGAATATGCCTTTGTTGATTTGTTTTGAAGAATTTTTGATTGAATTTTTTATAAAATGTTGAAAATGTCAGAACGTAGCAGAGAAGTTAGAGTATGTGAGAAGGAAGGTGAATGAAGCTAAGCTGATGATAGAGGAGAATAAGAAAGAAGTCAAAGTCAACGCTGAGAGATCCGACAAAGCTGAATGGGCAATCTCTTTATGCAATTGCAGAGTAAGTACAAACAAACCTTTAGACTGATACTTAAGTACTAAACTAAGAACTGAGATTCACATAACTTTTTGTTGTTGATTTGACTAAGATTGAAGAGCTTGAAGCTGGGATTAAAGAAGAGAGCGAGAGACGAGAGAAGCTTCAAGAGATGTTAGAGTCTGATAAACAATGTATCGAAGAATCAGAGAAAGATGTCGAGAAAGGAAAAACAGAGCTAATTTCGCTTGGAGAGCTTCGAGAAGAGCTCTCAAGCAAGGTTAAGACAATGATGGAGGCTAAATCGCAGGCGGAAGCGGAGCTAGAGAGGGTTGTGTCAAAGAAAGGAGAGACGATGATGGAGATTGAGAAGCTTCGGAATCAAAGAGATGTTTTCAACCTCCGGATCGAGTTTTGCAAGGAGAAAGAAGCAAGAGGGTTGGATTCAAAGGAAGAAGAAGTGAAGTGTGGGTATAGAGAGTATGTTGCAGAGGATATCAGATTGGCTACTGAGAGTTGTTCCGATCGGCTGAGGTTGAAATCCGGCGGTAACTGGACGAATGTGTACAGAGGAAGGATCAAACATACGACTATGGCTGTGAAAGTGATTGGCGACTCTCTATCAGACGAGGATTTTGGAGCAAAAGTCAAGCTTTTGAATGAGATTAGGCATCCTAATCTGGTAGCAATTGCTGGTTTTTCTGCGGAGAAGCCTAAATGCATACTCTTTGAGTATATGCATAGTGGGAACTTGAGGGATAACCTATTCACATCGCAGAGGAAATCAAGAAGAAGCAAGATACTGAAATGGCACGATAGGATTCGTATAGCTCACCAGGTTTGCTCTGGACTCGGGTTTCTCCACTCGGTTAAGCCTAAACCGATTGTCCATGGTCGCCTCACGCCGTCTAAGATCCTCTTGGACCGTAACCTCGTGCCGAAGATAACCGGGTTTGGACTGATCATGCATAGTGATCATCAGTCTGATACGAAACCTGACGTGATGGCCTTTGGTGTTTTGCTGCTGCATCTTCTAACCGGGAGGAACTGGCCCGGTTTGCTCAAGGCGATGTCGATGAACCAGACGAGTATCATCAGGGATTTGGATCAGACGGCTGGTAAGTGGCCGTTGGAGTTAGCTAAGGAGTTTGGTGCACTTGCGGTGAAATGTTCTTCGGTTAACAGAGGAGTGAACATGGATTTTTCAACCAGAGAGATCATGGAAGAGCTTGGGAAGATAAGGGCCAAAGCTGATGAGTTTAGAATCATAGGAGGGTACGAGGAAGCAACCAATTCAAACATGGAAGAAGGAGATCCGAATGACATACCGAGTGTTTTCATGTGCCCCATACTTCAGGTATCAAACTCAAAGTCCTTAGCTCAGAGAGAGAGAGAGTACTGATTCACAATTCTCTAACTTCTTGTTATTGTTTTGCAGGAGGTGATGAAGAATCCACATATTGCAGCAGATGGGTTTTCGTATGAGCTTGAAGCAATAGAGGAATGGCTAAGCATGGGGCATGACACATCTCCTATGACAAATCTGAGACTGGACTATCAGATTCTAACACCAAATCATACTCTTCGTTCTCTAATCCAAGATTGGCATAGCAAAAGAGCACTACAAGCTTCCTCCTAGATTCCTTTGTATACAACTCGAAAGGTCTCTAATTCTGTATTTTGTTACCACAATCTTATGATAATCAGCAACAAGGATCAATCATGACAAGTTTATCCCCAAATGAAGATGATCAAATTGCACAAAGATTTACTAAAATTTCTGGATTTTCCTTGAAACTAGCTGCTGATGATTCGTTTTTCAACTGATACTATCAAACAAAAACAACAAGAGACAGTAAAAGGTGAAGAGATCCACAGCGAAACGAACAAACAAACAAGAGGAGGATGAGGATGAAGATCAACGCTACGCCAGAGAGAATTAGAGAAACACCCTTTCATTTCGTCGATAGCGGAGAGAAGAGGCGAGCGATTCGATCTTTATGCTCCTGGCATCGTCGCTCCAAGTAAGTCTCCATGATCTCCATGACGGAAACGAATCTCTTCATCTGCTCTAACCGACGGCTTAGCTCAGCTTCTCTTGCTCTGGCTCGCCGCAGCCGCGCCTCCGTTTCCGCGAGCCGGTCTCGTAGATCGTCGATCGCTGTATCGTCGCTGTCTCCGTCGTACGATTGGCGACGGAGGCTGCTCCGCGGTAACGATTGATGGTGACCGTAACACATCGTAACGAATGAAGATGATAACGGAAAATCAATTTTTGGGTTTTTGGTTTCCTTTCTTCTGAGGAAAACAAAACGAAAAGAAAACTTGACGAAGGGTGTTTTGGTCATTTCGTAAAATCCTAATAATTGGGCGAACCTTCTTTATCGCCCAGAGAGTTCTGACAGAACGACTTGATAAATCAATCACCGGCGGTGGAATCAATCGGTGACCAGAAGCAGGAGCTATGGCAAAGCGTTCACCGTTCTCGTTGACGGAGCTCAATTCGGAATCATCTTCTTCGGATTTCTTCTCTCAAACCTCTTCTCGTCTCCCCGACGACACTGTTTTCTTCTCCATATTCCCTGACTCCTCCCTCTCCGCCGCAGGATCGGAAGCATCCGCTGCTCTTCAATCACTTCACCTGGAAATAATCGATTTCGTTTCGCCGTTTACTTCTCCCTACATATGGCAGCACGAGCCTTTCTCCCTCTCCATAGCTCACTCTTCCTCTTGTGCTTGTACCGATACTGCGATGCCTCATCTCCACGGGAAGCTGAAATATGGCGACAATCTAGAAGACGAGTGGTTCGCTGTGTTCCTTCTCTTCCGCATTTCCGCCGCGTTTCCGTCTAATTCCATCCGTGTGTGGGACACTGACGGCGAGTTTCTCCTAATCGAAGCTGCCTTTCACCTCCCGCGTTGGCTCAATCCCGAGACGAGTCTCAATCGCGTCTTTATACGCGGCGGTGACCTCCACATTGTTCCCCGGAGCCGCATCCCGGATCCTTCCTTAGTTGCGTCGTTGCGGTTTCTCGTCGAGCGTAGCCACGAAGCTCGCGCGTCGGATTCAGTCCAATCCGCGTTGAAGAGCCGGATTTCGGATTATCCCGAACGAGCGTGGAGGAATATGCACCGTGTAAGGGTTAGGGTTCCGACGTCGGTGGCGCAGGTGCTCAAACACGAGCCTTTCTTAATCTCTCTTGCAGTGGAAGGGTTTTACGATCGCGATGTGGATTCGATGAAACACGCAGCGAAGATGGAGAAGTTCCTGAGCAAAGGAAGAGAGCAAGAGTTGGTGCTCGTGCTTGTCAAAATGTCTCGTGCAATGTACGCACAGCTCGTGCAGCAGAAGTTTCAGGCGCCGAATTGTTACCCAATGCCGAGCATTAGCGACCGGGAGGCTTACACTGAAGCTGAGCTTGGGATGAAAATAGCTTGTGGCATGGAAATGATGTATCAGGAGAGGAAGAAAGACGGTGAAGATGGGAAAGGGATAAGCTGGAGCAAGTACAAGGACAATCTTGAGAAGAAGGGTTATTTTGAAGGATTGCTTTCTGGTTCCAAGGAGTACAAGAGGCTGATGGAGAATGCTGAGGAGTATTACCACAAGAGCTCTTCGTTTTCAAGAACAAGGTGATAATGCAGTTTTTGTTTGCTTGCTATTCTTTTCTACTGTTTGTAGTGTAAAAGATTCGTCTTTGAGTTGTTGTTTTCTTATGTGCAGAGACATTATGAGTGCGCCGGTGAGACGCATTGATGAGATTCTTGGTTTACCGTATTCAGAGGACGACTTCAAGGGTCAGGAAGTTGCTGTTTCTGACAATGATTCGTGGCTCTACGATGGTGAGGATGAGTTAAACTCTGTTCTTCAAGAGAGGCAGAAGGAGATGGAGTTTTACAACTCGGAGAAGGAAAGAAAACAGAAAGCAAAGGGGAAGCAAGAAGCCGGAAGCTCATCTGATGCAAACATGAACAGCTTTGATCTCGGTGATATCTCAAAGTCGATGCAACAGTTTATGCAGAAGGTATCAAGCTACAAAGGAGCAGAAGTGCCAGAAAACAGGTTAGCCTCTTGAAAATTAGTCATCTCTTGTCAACTTCAAAATTCAAGCTCAAGATTTACTTTGCTCGACATTTACAGGGATTTCAAAGAAGTCGACCTAGATGTAGACCGTTTCATGAAGGATATTGAGTCAATGCTAGGAAGCCAAGGTCAGCGTGAACAAGCTGATGATGACAGCGATGGCTCTGAAGGATCTTCAATGGACATGGATTTTGGTATTTCCTGCTTTCAACTTTTTTCTTTTCTTCTCGTGGCAACATATGCTGATCTGTGAAGTGTGGAGTGTGAGGACTTACTGAAATGTTTATGGTCTGCAGATGACATTGAAGATGATAGCGAAGGAGAAGAGTCTAACGAGGAGGAGGCGAAGGAAAGCTTTATGGAAACTTACTCTGGAGCAATGAACGAGGAACTGAAAAACTCAACTCTTGAGAAAAGCTTTGAACATGTTAATCAACCTTCTTCTAAGCAGAACGAGGTATTTCACTATCTTTGATCCATTTTGTTCGTTAATTAACTGTGTTGAGATTTTGAATCTAATGTTGGTATCTATCTATGTGAATCTGCAGGAATCATCAAAGGGTTTAGACGAGGAGGAGTTTACACCTATTGATGCTGATTTCAACCTTGTAAAGAACCTACTTGAATCCTATGCTTCACAACAAGGACTTCCTGGTCCTGCTTCCAATTTACTCGGCCTCATGGGCTTGCAACTTCCCAAGGATTCTAACGACAAAGAGTGATAGGATTTAGTTTGTAATCTCATTGAGTTTACTTTGTGTACTCTTGTGAACGTTACGATTTTGCCAAGTTTCTGATTATAATCGTTGATGGTTGTGTGTTGTCGAAAGTACGCACATGACATGTGACTGAAGAAAGGAAATTAAATAAAACAGAAACTTATGTACAACTACACTATTAGCATTACACATCAACAACCACAAAAGAACAAAAGAAAATAAAGATTTTTTTTTTTCTTCGAAAAACCCAATAATCTCGACCACAGAAGAAGTGAAAGCAGAAAACGCTTCCCACATGAAAAATATCCAATACTCAAATCATTATCATATATTCATAACATATCAATTTCATCATTCTTCTCATCTTGACGTTGCTGAGTCTCCATCACCATCATCTTTGTCCATTAGTAGATTCTTGAGAGATGACTTGGTGTTTTGTTGTCACTCTCTTTGAACAGAAAAACCAAAAGAAGTCTCCAGAAGCTATCCACGAATCTTGCTTCTTCCTTTTTTTCTTTTTCTTCCTTTTTCTCATTATTCGATTCTTAATTTTGATACTGAAACATCAAAAGAAATAGTTTTGCTCTTCCCTATCTCCAGTTTTATAGCTTCCCCATAGACGACAGCCACTGTTCCATATTCTTCCCATCTGTTCATTAAAACCAAGATCAACTCAATTTAAAACACTCCAAGCAAGTATGGTAATAACCAAAGCTCCAAACTTTCAACGAATTATGATCCAATTTGCAAATCACTGAGAGATGATCATCTTAAACATGCAAATAAGTCATCACATAATTGCTATTATTAGTAAAGATGATAGATAATGGAAACAAAACATTACCAGGAGCAGTAGGAGAGAAGAAGCCATTAGGAATTTGATTCCCTGAGCCATCCATCACTTTCTTGTAACAAGGGACCAGAACCACAAACCCACCACTATCATCCTCACTTTTAAACCCTGGTCCATGTGGCTCAACCCAACCAATAGACCACTCTGGATCATCCGGTTCAGGGAACACCACATTCCCCATCTTCTCCTCCTCTCCTCCTGATCCTCCTCCTCCTCTTCCAATCCATCCTCCTCTCTTCGTCTTCTTCACCGAGGAACCACCAGCCTTACTCTTCTTAAGTGAAGGACTCAGCGAAGAAGATCCCTTTGGTATTGACTCTTTCTTCTCTCTCTCTTTAGTGTTGCCACCACACAACCACCTCGGAAGACGAGGAAAAGAGACTGCCATCTTCTCTATTACTTCCCTAACACTCCGAATCTCCGGAGATTAACTTTACTCAATCGGCCATGGATCGTTACTTCTTCCTTGGTCTTCGACCTGTTCACAATAAATATCCAGTTTTCATTTAATCATCCCCTTCAATTAATAAACCACATATCATTATGTCACCATTATGATGACACTGACCAATCACTAAAAACCTAAACCATAAATAAAATCACTAGACTGTAAAACAAAATTCAGAATCCATTAATACTGTTTATGATGTGATCGATAAAAACATAGATCAAACATGAAATTCGCAGAAAATTAAAAAAGCAGATTAGTTTTTTCTTAATGGTCAATTTCGATTTCAACGAAATCTCAGGCTAAACATTAGAGAAGATCTTAATGATAGTTTGTTTTCTCTCGCGGACTCTTCTCAAATGGAAAGTAATTAATGCTTCTTCAGATCGGTGGTCCAAGTGAGAAAACAGCCAAAAATAGAAAAACGAAAGCGATCGAGACTAATGAAGAAACCAGGAGGATCAAAATCAAGCCTCGGTGTCCGTCAAAACACGGCAAGGCTTCGCCGGAAAACTCGGCGGAAAGAAAATGCGAAAATTTCGGCAGAAGAATTGTTGAAGAGGAAGATGAGAAAAGTCTCCGGTAATAATTCCGAAACGTAGATTACCGAGAAAATCAGAGAGAGAAAATCAAATCGTCGATCGGAGGAGCCCTAGAATCGTTTCGTCGTCGTCGATGACTCTCTGATCTTTCTCGTCTCTCTCGTTTCCTCTGACTTTTCTCTGACTTCTACAGAAGAAGCTCATCTCTTCTGCTCTGCTTCATTTATATTACTCGCTTTTCTGTTTTTTTTTCTCCTTTATTAATTCCCGTTTTTATTGAGCCTCGCTTCTGCAAAACCAATAAAAATTGATCCGACGGTTGCTAGCGGTTTACTTTGTTGCGTGGCAACTGTTGGTGTACGGTTTCACTGTAGACTTTGAAACACCAGATTACGACCAGGAAATCTCTCGATACAATATAGGGGGAATATTACGGTTTTTCTCTTTTGTAACCATTTTGATATATTAACGAATCGATTTTCTTATTAATTAACAATTTAAATATAATGATGATAGACTTAAAAGAGTATTAAAATCTTGGAATTTTCAATTGGGAATATGTAAGTTCATGTATTTCCCCGGAATCAATCATTTAGAACATCTCCAACGGTGATATTTCACATGGTCTCTATACATTAAAAAATTAAAAACAAATGAAAAAGGAGAAAAGAGAATCTCATAAAGTGTGATATGTCTCTATGCAACGAGACCGTATCAACAAAAATAAGAGACTATGGTAAGAGGTGTCACTATATTAGTGGTTGGCTTTTTTTATTATTTTAAATTTAATTATTTTTTAAAAATTATATTAATTTAATATATAAGAGAAACTGAGACTATGGTATAACCGATGGACATGCTCTTAGTTCCTGAATTTACCAAACTCTTAATTTAAATCTCAATTAGGGGACTTTAATGAGCTCTGTATATGTCGATTAACTTTACTTAGTGCATGCAAATAGCTAGGGTACTCAAGGTAATAGGAAGTAAACACATACGTATATAGATGTTTTTCAATTTGTTTCAAGGCACATTAAACATAAATTAAACCTTGTGCTAACAAAATAAAACAAGTCAGATACATCTCGATCTTAAACGTATCTGAAAAATCTTTGTTTAATTAACTGTCGGTAACAAGGGTATACTACTGATTTCATTTCATAAACACCTTAACATTATTTTGTAAAGTGATAAAATGTGTAGACATTTGAGAGGGAGATTTCGTTGGTATGGAGTTTCTGGGATTGCTTGATACTACTTGGAGAAAGCTTTTTGGTCCCATTACAGACCATGGATAGCACAACTTATGCATTTTCTTTGCGGCGACTTCCTCTCTGTACAATCATTCTTCTTTCTTCTGTTTAAAAACCGTGTCGTTTTTGTTGTTTCTATTTAAAAATCGTATTGTTATATTTATGAATTTAAATTTGTTTTATTTGTTATTTGGGGGAGAAGGTCTTTGGTAGACACATAATTCGTTATGTGAAGATTCTAGAGTCTCTGGAGGAAGCTTTGTGTTATCTGCCGAGTCATCTTATAGAAGTAGATGTAGTGGTGTTTTCAGAATTGGCCTATGTTAGTTCATTATTAGCTATAATTTCTTTTGAAAGATACAGAATTGGCCTATGTTAGTTCATCATTAGCTATAATTTCTTTTGAAAGATATCACGCGGTGATCATTAAGAAGGTCATCTCATATCATATCAGTGATTTGAAATATATTATCAGAAAGAGTTTTGAAACAAATATATGTTGAAAACAAAACAAAAACTTACATTCAAATAAACTCCTATCAGTTTCGCAAACTGCAAGTTTCAAATATAGACAAGGCCAATCATTCCAGAAATATGTTATCAGAAAGAGTTTTGATATATTAGCGAATTGATTTTCTTATTAATTAACAATTTAAATATAGTGATAGTAGACTTAAAAGTTAAAACTGAGTATAAAAAATCTTGGAATTTTCAATTGGGGAATAATTTAAGTTGATGTATTTCCCCGGAATCAATCATCTAGCTCCTGAACTATTTTTGTATAATTGAGAGATGCTTAATACTAATAATAACGTTTACCAAACTCTTAATTTAAACCTCAATTACGGGACCTTTAATGAGGACTGTATATGTCGTTTAAGTAGCTAGGGTCAAGGGTAATATGAAATAAACATATACGTATATAGATGTTTTTCAGTTTGTTTTAAGGCACATAAGCAGAAATCAAACCTTAATAAGGAACCATAAGATTTATCATGATAATAAGATTCTGTAACTCCCTTTCTAATCAAATTGTAACCAACCCTCACAAGAAATTCAAGAATATTTTGAAGAGCAAGGGACATGGTAAGGGAGATGGGTCGGCCTTTTAGGACTGGGATGGTTTGGGTTTGGTCACGCCGAAAGGAGGGAGAGGAATATTGTGAGGGCGATCATAACCAGCAGCCTTGGAACAGAAAATTGAATCTCCAGGCTTCCGATCAGAGCCGGGGGAAGTCATAGAACGCCGGTCAGTGTTGTCTCCAATGGAAAAACCATAGCCACCAACGAGAGTCAAGCATCCAGAACGCTCATTGATGCTTCTTTTAACAACCATTTTGCGTTCAATATGGGCACCAAGCTCACCATACACAGCATAGGCCAAGCCCTTAAACTTTATGTAGACGGTTGCATTCTTGGCTTGGAGCGGCTCCACGTCTTCATCAGAAGTTTCTATGGCCACTTTCAGAATCTGCAACTTGGCCATAACGCTCTGCACAAAAACAACAAGAGTTATTAACAACAAACAACAGTGTCACACACGGTATATGTCCAAAACAAAGACTTACATCCAAAAAAATCCCCCTATCAGTTTCGCAAATTGCAAGTTCCAAATATAGACGAGGCCAATCATTGTCTTGCAGCTCTGATTCAGTGAGCTGCACATTATAAGCAATAAAACACACATATATATATATATATATATATATATATATATATATCAGTACATCACTCGCTACTTAAGACCCGGATGCAAAACTGAAGTATTATAATAAAACTTACAATGTAAAACCGATTCCTATCACTGAAATCTGACGGCCAATTAAATCTTCGACCTTCATTGGGTTGTTTCAAATCCAGAGGATCGAATGGCAATGACTCCTTTGGGGCACCTTTTATTCAACATTATTATAAATCAGCAAAGTGAGATTTCATTATAAATATACAAGAGATGAAATTTAATTTGTTACTTTACCTTGAGGCCTAGCAACGAAGCACATGGCACTCAATATGCCAAAAACTAATTGACTAACTCCAGACTGAAAATTTACGAGCGAAGTGGGAGTAGCTGGATCGCAAGCAACCAGAGTTACGTAATAATAGCACAGGCAACCCATTGTCTTGTTGTATTTCTTCAGGCGGTGAAGCTTAAACTTTGTGCCACTGCAGAGATCAAGAGACGTGTTGATAAAGGAACCAATGACAAAGGCTAGTCGTCTTTCTTCTTATTATTACCTTGGACATGTTGTAACGATGAAGCCCCAATCTAGCAAAAAGCTTGACCAAAAGAAGTTGAGGATCAAAAGCATCGCGTTCACAGTCGTACCACGCCAACCCCATGGTAGCATCTGGGTCTTCGACATCCTCCAGATTGATCGAAACCCTAATTAAATTGAAGTACCAATTAAATCAGCAAAATTAGTAAACAAACCCTAATTCCTGCGTTAATTTTAATTCTTGTCTCACAATTCCAACACAGAATATGCAAAAAAGATTACGTCGGATTTGCGGCTCACTTCCTTCTGCCCTTTCATCAACTTCTCCATATCTTCACTTTCAATCGACGACATACTCTCCGGATGCTTTTTTTTTTCTCTCTCTCTTTTCTCTCGATTTAGGTTTCACGCGATTGACTGATTTTTTTATTACTTAGAGGACACGGAAGAGTTTACCTGTACACACAACCTTATTGGGCCCTTTCTCATAAACTGTGTTATTAAAAAGAACACCACTCCACTCTTATTTATTTATATCATCATCATATATAAAGAGATACTACAGTATTATAACTGAAATAAATTACACACTCGTTTTCTAATCAAATTGTAACTAACAATAATTTACTAAACCCTCACAAGACAAATCAACGAGAGCCTCATCAAGAATACGAGCTTTTATTTATCAGAAAAAAAATATAGCTAGTAAGACTTTCTAAAAATCAAACATGACACATACAATCAGGAGCAGGATACGTATAGATCGACTGTTTCGTTTTCCTCAACCGTATCTGTCCCTGTCTGTTCACGTGTCCTTCACCAAGCGCCTGCTGAAAATCGACCCACGCGATGCTCTTGTTGAGGAAAAGCTGTCCGATCAACGCCATGTTCGGTCTAATCGTCTTGAGATTCTCGAACGTCCGATGACCAACAAGAGCGTTGTGCATGTTTCCAGGCGACGCAGAGATGAATATGTCGCTGTGCATGCTCACGTAGTAATCAAGCGCAGCTAACAAAGAAGCTTTGCCTTTGATCCGAGCTCGTTCTTCAGAAGAAGCTAGGCTCCTCTTGTCTTCCATTCTTGGGAACACTTGTCTCAACGCTGAGATTCTCGCTTCTCCTCCGTAGACCTTGTGGGACGCGAGATAGAGACGCGTGTTGTTGTCGAACCCGAAAGCAGCTAGAAGAAGTCCCATTTCTTCTGGTGTCAGAGGACAACGTCCTTGGCTTCTCAGCTCTTCGTCTGTGAATTGAGAATTCAACACTCTTCCTTGCCAAATCATTTGTCTGTACTTCGCCAACGCTAGTTTCTCGGCTTTGCCTCCACCGAAATCACACGCCGAATGTGCAGCCATGTCCTGTATAAGAAGAAAAACTTGTAAATGACCAAATAAAGACAAGAGACATCATCTACGGAACAGAACAGAACAGAGTGAAACTGTTTACCTTGTCGAAACGAAGATGAAGAACAGCGAATTTTCCTTTCTCTTGTCTGCTGTGTGAGTTGGTCATGTCTGCTAAATGATCAACGTTCTTTCTCTCCTTGTTGCTTCTCCATGAAGGGTTTCTAAGACGGCTCACAAGAGCATCACCAAGCGATGTAATGTGAGGGACAAAGCGTAAAGCTTGGAAATTTACTTTGCATCTAAGCCGTTGGATCTCAGCAGGTAAGTGATCAAACGAGAGACGGTGAGAGAATGGAGATATCGCAGCAATCCCATAACTACACACACAAAGAAGAATCCAAACTTAAAGTCTGAAACTTTAACCATTTGTCAGATTAAGTGATAGAAGAAGAAGACATTACCTTTGAAGAACAGGTGAGACATTCTCGATATACCAATTGGCAGAAGCATGAACAGGAGCTGTTTTGACTCGTGTTTCACGGACAGCTGTAGCGTAATACTCTCTTGTGCTCCATGAGTACTCCTCAGGAAGTTCTCTAACCACTCTTATGTCTTCCTTTAAAGACTCGATGAAATGATCCACATCGAAGATATCAACAAAAGCACTTGAATCTTGCCAAACAGGATTGACTTCAAGATGAGGGATCACGAGTGTTGCGTTTAGTATCTTAGCAACCGCAACTGCATCGCAAATCCCCATTCGCTGCTGGTTAAGTCCTCCGTCAAGGAATACCTGAATGTATCCCTCGGTTTTATCCGGTAACGCTACTCCAAGACAAGTAAAAGAGAGAGATTAGAAAACAGAGATTGACATACTTTGAAGCTAATGAGTAAATTTTTTTGGAATACTTACAAGGAGGGTTTCCGATATCAATACATGGACTCCATCCTTGATCAGTCAATGGCCTCCAAAGATCAGATTGTTCTCCACTGGACTGAAATTACAAGAAAATCACAAAAAAAAAAAAAAAAAAAAACTGTTTACTTTCTGAATTCTGAAGTCGAAACTCATGAAGAATCATTTAAAGTTCATTCATTTTTTACCCGTTGTAAAGCACTCTTTAGCAGAGACAAATGTCTTGGCTTTATTGTGATCACTTCCTGCAAAAATAAATGGCTTGGTTTCATCAAAAGAGCTTCACTACTTAACTCAACAGAGAACTCTTGACTTGAATTAAACTAGTCAATTTCTAATTATCCAGACTCCGGAGATATTAAATCATACGGTTAATAAAACGTAAACTCAATCAACAAACACAATTACCGTTAATGGTCTCTTTCTATTAAAATTTCTATAAATGTATTAAAATTGAGAAATTTCTTCAATAGGCAAGTTGATGATACTATCTCTGGATACCATAAGACAATAGTCTGCGTAAAACTTTCCAGAGAAAAAGGAAAATTGCTGAAAAGCTTAAGTTTTTATTGTAACGGAATCCAACAAAAACGGTACCCAGAAAATAGGAAAAGGAAGTAGATTTTGGCCAACTTACAGATGACGAAGACGAAGTCGAAGCGTTGCACAGTAAAACGACGACGAAGAAGAGCACAGAGAGAATCCCTCTTCTCATGGCGAATTTGTCTCTCGCATAAAAATTCATCTTTTTTTTTCTTCCTCAGGCGAGTAAAAAACGAAAGACCCAGATCCAGTTTCCGGGAAAGTCCGAGACTTTATAATCAATCGACCAATACCCAGAAACCGAGAACGAAACAATCACAAACTTGCCCGGAAAACGACAGAGCAGAGAAGCACGAGAGCAAAATCAGAGAAAGTAGCGAAACCAGAATCACATGAATCAGAATGCTCTCTTGTCTCTTTCTCTCTCCCTCTTCCACTTTTTATCGGGTTTTCGTCTTCCCTCTTCTTCTTCTCACTGACGATTACTTAAAAGATTAAAAATGAGGAAGCTTTTATCAATTTCCCAGAACGGTTTGTAGTAATGTAGAGACTTCAGAGAGAGAGAGAGAGAGAGAGCGCGTGAATGCTTGTCACATGGACACCTGTTCATTTAATTTGCTGTCTGTCTCTCTCTTTCTCTCTCTCCATGGGTCCCCGTCTTTCTTGCACCAATACACACTTCTTTATTTTCCTTTTTGCTTCTTTGCCTCTTGCGGCGAATTTCACTTTTATTCTCGTTACACAAAAATATAATTAACTAATTCTTTGACTCCTTTAATGACAACGTTGCGTAATTACAGAGAAATAAATCGCTAAATGACAAAACAAAATGCGAAATTTGAGATATCTTTGACTTGACAAATCTTAAAGATTATTGGATGTAATGTACATGGAAAACAATTTTGATAATGAAGAGAGTATTAGGTAAGAAAATCAAGAGTTACTTACACTCATGTGTTTATATTTTTTTCGATCACTTTCCTTTTTGGTTGATATATCTTTCCTATATGTGTTGATATGGGTTGGTAAGTTTGTACGGTGTATTGACATCTAATTAATACTACAGATCCGAAAGAAATTAAAGCAGATTGATTGTGATATAATTTGTTTTGTTTGTTAAACATAACTGTCTGTGTGTGTGTATTTAGTAAAGAATTACATCTGTTTTAGGCTAAACAAGCAGAATTTGAGGGAAAGGGGTGATAAATACGTACAAAATTCTTTAGCAAGTTCCATAATCGTCAAAAAAGGTCATAACTGAAAAAAACTAGTTGGAGTTTTAAGCATCTAATTACTATAATTACGTCACCGTCAGTGAAGCCTGACACGTAGACATAGGTAATGGCTGTGGATTAGATCACTGGCGCTATCGACAGGCTATGTTCTTATTAGCTGTTGAGAAAAGATAAATCTGAATCTATTTGCCTGTTTAATCCTTGCGAAAAACAAAAAAATCTTTGCTAGTGCAATATTAATATTATTATTTTATTAGATTTTTGGACCGTTGGGAGAGATAAAGACAGCTTTTTTATTTTCCTGAAAAGACAGCTTATATGGAATCTTTACATTTGTGTTATCTTATATTAACGTCCATATTTGAATTTCATTGGAGGATTTTGGGGGAACGTATATAAAATATGGACAGTTTATATAACCAAGGCCTTGTGGCCCAGTGGTAAAGGGGTTACTGCTGTGACTTCCGCCATTTGAATTCGAGTCCCCTTAACTACCTGGGCTGTCTTAAATGGTAAGAATACGCGGATTGCCATGGGTCTCGTGGGATTAATCTTTGGGCCTAGAAAGCCTTTAGGATCCCCACGGTTATAAAAAAAAAAAAAAAACAGCTTATATATACCCATGGTGTAATGAAATTCGGCTTTTGATGTCTTATTACGTGAATTTGCGAAAAATAAATATTTCTTTATTAGAGAAAATAATTATGTGAATTTTGTGGAGGCACCGACACTTTGCTGTGTTCTTCACACTGCAGCTTCACTTAGATTTTTCATATCCATCAGAAAGATCCACTCTTCTCGCTTTGTGTCCTTTCTTAATTTCTCCTCTTTTCTTTTCACCCACTTTTAAATTTTATCCATTAATTAATGTGTCCTAGCTCTATCAAAATTTTAGTCACATTACTCTTATTTCTACGTTTGGCTAGACATCTAGCAAGTTCCTTGAGAACCAAGATCACTTCTAAAATTATGCACTTTACGTTAGGCAAGAATTTAAAGAAATTTTTAAAAATATTCCGGTTGGTAAATTAACCTAACAGAAATAATTAATACTAGTATGAGAGAAAGAAACTGAAAACTAAAAGGAAGTTTCAGTTGATGTAATGAAAATTATGCGTTTTACAAGTTCAGTAAATAATTTGATATCAGCACGCGATATTTATAACGATGGGTTTAAAAAAAAACTTAAAACGAAGGTTTTTAACATTAAAAGTTTTGATTCGGCCAGAACGCAAGAGCTTTATTTGGATTACGTAATATATGATGGATCATGGACGTGATTTTCAAAGGACCATTTTTTGTTGAAACAGCACAATACGATTTGCTGGCGTGAGAATAGGATACTTCTTCTTTTTCGGATTTTTTTTTTAAATACTTCTTCAATTAAAAAATATCTGCAATTGTTTAGCCATACATTGATACGTGCTTGAGAGAAAAGAAAAGAAGAAGAAGAAAATAGTCTTACAATAAAGGTTTCAAAAGCATAGGAAAAAAAAAGTGTGCAGGATTAGTTGAATGGTATTAGAGTGTTTAGTACATTATAAAAATTGTATAAAGTTAAAGATTTGAGATTACGTACTTACTTTTTGGGATAAAATTTCCCATTGAACGAATTACTAAAACAAGGAGGTTGGTGAACTTAACTAAAGGTTATATGAAGCTCAATTAAAGAAAAGAGTACCACAATTGAGGAATGTAATAGGAATTTAAATCATATGATTTTTGTAATTTCTGTATGTCCGAAGCATTGGTACTAATCAAATCAAATGCTTGACTTTTTCAAAAGTTTGTAACCCTGGATTAGTCTACTCATTTGGGCCTGACACAACTATGTGATGCCCCTTTAATTTGAGTAGATTGCTTAAGGTCCAAGAATGATAACTTTGGGCCTTGTTTTTTAACTACAACACTGTTTTCAACATTCAGATATCAGAAATCATCCCCTAACAATGTCACTCAAATCTTGTCCATTTGTGTGGTTCTTCTTTCATAAAGTAGACCCACACCAAAATTTACAATCAATTCTGTTTCTTTGTATAGATACTAATAATTTACCTTCAGTGACACGCTATCCGGTCGGTCCAAAGTTACACAAATAATTAAATAACCAAAAAGAGATCAAAAGCACCACACAGATCTACCTATGATTCATACATTCTTAGACTGTGAGTGTCATTATCATTTAATCAATTAAAAAATACGATCTTCATTGCACATTGTCATGATTATCATCTTATGCCTTACTTTATCGTAATAATGCAGACAATATGGACACTGCAATTGTTTAGACTCTCATTGCACCGTAATTCGGAAGTGTCATTGTGTTTGTGTATATCTTTTACTTACTACTAGTCATATGAACCAATACAAAGTCATATTTGGGAAGTTCTTGAAAGAAACATCAAAATTATTTGATTTTTAAATATTGCGCTGATAATAAATAAATATAGCCATAGGACTGGAAATAATCATTTGGCTCTCTTAGAGTTAGCAATGTGGTTAATTTTCTTTCACTTGCTGGCCATGTGTTTTTTGGGCTTCTGTATTTCAAAAACTTTGTATTCCACCTTGATATCAATATAATTCACCCAGATGACCAAAAAAAAAAGGACTGGAAATAAAATAATGAACCAAAATCGAACACGAGAAGCCGTCATTAACGCACAGCACAAAATATTTTGTGTCTCAAAAGACGTTTTGGTGTCTCTGTCATTTTAATTAAAAATATTCAAAAGAAAAGAAAATCTGACAATTTTTTTTTCCAAAAACGACATCGTATGAGTCATAAAAAAAGCAGCGTCTCCGCCTTTCATTTTTATATCTCAGAGAGACAAAAGAAGCAAACCGGAAAATAAAAGGAAAAAGAAATTATTTTGGATTTGGAGGTAATAAATTCAAAAACTTTCGAATGCTTTCGCTTCGAATCTGAGGTTTCCTGCTGCAGAAATTCTTCACGGGTGTTTCCTGGAATCGAGATTAGAATTAGGGTTTGTGTGGATTGGAAATGGCGGAGCAGAAGAGTAATAGCAGCAATAATAACAATTCCACCAATAAGTGGAACTGGGAGGTGACTGGATTCGAACCGAGGAAGTCGTCTTCGAGTGAGGACGCCGTTTATCGGACGCCGTCTTCGATGCTTCGACGGTACTCGATCCCGGCGAACTCGCATCCGCCACTCTCGCCGGAGCTCGCGTCTAAGGTTCAGAGTCTGAAGGAGAAAGTTCAGGTGTGGCAAAATTGCCTTTGAAATTTCTTATTAATGTTTCTCCGTGATTGAGATTATTTAAGGATTAATCAATGTGGGTGGGGTTGAATAAGTAATATGCAAAAGGATGATTTTTTGTTTATATGAGTATAGAGCTGAGTTAGTCGAAGTTTTAGGTGAAATGCTGCAACTTCGCTTGTGTAATTAGTGATATTTTGATGGAAGTTAAGTGTGGAAGAGTTTGAAGCTACTGCTTAAGAAAAATTTGGGTTTTGGTTGAACAGCTTGCAAAGGACGATTATGTGGGATTGAGACAAGAAGCTACTGATCTTCAGGAGTATTCTAATGCAAAGCTTGAAAGGGTTACTCGTTATTTAGGTGTTCTCGCTGATAAAAGTCGCAAATTGGGTAAGTTATCACTTCCCTCCTGTGTATTCTGTGTTCGAAGTTTTGTGGTTTGTGGCAAAAATAAGAAATTTTGGATTTATGGATAAGAAATGTCGAGCTGTGCTATTTATTCAGTGTTGGAATTTCACTTGTCTATAAGTATCTCTTGCGATAGGATTTTTGTTACTGTTATCTGCTACATATTTTGTTGTTGTGAAATTTGGATGTTTTGTTTTGTTTACTTATCTGCATAGCCTATCACAGATCAGTATGCCCTTGAGGCTGAGGCAAGGATATCTCCACTTATCAATGAGAAGAAAAGACTGTTCAACGAAATACTGACGA